GTTCAAGGATTAAGGATATTTATTGTCATTGCATTTCTACAATGAAACTTCGTTGGCACTTTTGAAAACAACACAGAGTATGACAGGCAACAACAAACATCCATCCATTATCTATACACTGCGTAGTCCTGACTAGGGTCACAGGGGGCTGGAGTCTATCACAACTGACTCAGGGTGAAGGCAGGGCACACCCTGGACAGGTCACCAGTCTTTCGCAGGCACACTCACATTCACACCTTCTACAATGTAGAATCACCAATTACCCTCAACATGTTTTTGGACTGTGGGAAGAAGCCGGAAATCCCGGAGAGAACCCACGGTGCACAGTGAGAACAAACAAAATCCACACAGAAAGATCCCAGATGTCCTCACCGGGACGCGAACCAGGGATCTTCTAGCTGCGAGGCGACGGTGCTAACCACTGCTCCACCTTGCAGCCCCACAACAACAAACAGCTGTATAAAAAAACACGTATTAGAAAATAAGAAGTATTTACAAAAGTGTCAAAACTTGTTGTCTAGCTGCTACAGTAATTATCACTGTTTTTTTAATGATAAAAACTGTATTTTAACAGTTTACCAATACTGGTTAATATTGTGCACTGATGAAAACACATTCATAGTTTTTTGGGGTTTTAAAGCACCTCTTATTTATGAAACGAATCTCTATAAATATACAGAACCAACACTCATTTATCTTTGCCATTGTTAATTTTATATTAATCTCAAATTAACAGTTTTAACTCTTAAATAAGGAAATATGAAACAACAAAATTATGCTAGGTTTTGTAAATACATTTTAATAATCTTTTCATATAAAAAAAAATTCTTTTAAAAATGAAAATTTTCATGGTTGTTCATTGTGACTTTTTTTTTTTTTTTTTTTAAATGTTATTTTACGTTGGACCTGGAGATTGGATGACATCTGTTTATTTTACTTTCTGTATTTAGGAACAGAAAAAAGTCTGCCAAGTAAATCAGAGAAATTCTGTAAAGTTACAAATTATTTTATTTATTTTTTTTTTTTTGACAGTGGTAATTTTTCTTGTTTAATTTTTTCAGGTTTTCATTATTAAAAGACCAATGTTTTATAATAGTGATCAATTACGTAGCATACACTCTGAGGTTACCTTGTGGACTGTCTGCCAGAAACAGGCACTAAACCAGTTTTCATTGCCAAGTCAGAAGCCTTTTGGCCCTGAGACGGTAGCATGTGAGCATCCTCATGAGACAGTCACACTCATAAAGCATCCACAAGCTAGAGGGTACTTTAAACAGCTCTGTGATCACTCTCACATTTACTTCCACACCACCAGATGTGTGGGTCTATCCAGGAATTTAGAGAATTTAGGTCTCACAGGCGCAATAATACATGCTGTCTAACAATCACAGTCCAAATTGGTGCACATAAGCGGAACCACCAGTGTAGAAAATCACTTGTTATTTTGGACAGTTAGCATCTTCTCACTATCAGCTCCGCAAATTTTTTAGGCTCACTGTGCAGTGTGTTTCTGTTGTACGTGCTACTGATGATCACATGTTCCTCATCTGCATTGTATTTACTTCTTTCATTTTTGTGTAACAGAAGAAATGAAGTGATTCTTGTGGATGTACATTTTCAGCCAGCACCTGTTTTTAATTGAAAAAACAACAATCATCGATGAGAATGTTCTGATGTGTGTTTTGGTTTATCACAATATACACAGTGTGCTACACTATTTTTTTTATATTATTTTTAAACTGAAGAGCAAGGTTTGATGAATGTCTTAGTTATCAAACTCAAGGTTTTTGCAACAGCAAAAGGAAAACTACAGTTGATGACTGCTTTGACACTAGTGCTCAGGAAACACGGGGTTTTTTGCTCGTTGGAAACAAATCTGAAGGTTCAACAAATGGATGGACATGTATTTACCAAATTGCACTTTATAAACATCCATCACTGATTTTTTTTTTCCCATTTGACCAAATGAAGTGGTTGAAATCATGTAGAGACACACGGCTGTCTGTCCAACCACTGGACATTGTTTTAGTGTACCATTGACTTTGGTGAGTTTAGTTTTATCACAACTAAACGGATTAGTCAAACCATGTAGCATAAATCTACCACAAAACATGCAATTGTAGAGGAGAAATTGTGAGAAGGATACAAAATTAAATGCACTTAAAAAAAAAAAATGCTGGTCAAATTTTAGATCACATGTGATATCACCCAATCTAAGTGAACGGAAATTCAGAATTTTACAAAAAGTCACAAAACTTAAACTGTGATTGCATAAAAACCATACATGATATCAAAACACAAATTTTGATGAGTAATATTCAAAGCCTTGTGACCCATTTCAACTTTAAATGGAGTTTCTACTGTAAAATATGCCAGAGTTTTATGGTTTCAAAGATGGCTGGATTTTGGCAGTTGTCCAGCTAGCTTCCAATTCATTTCAGTGGGGACTTTTTAACACAGTTTTTTAACAAATTCTGTAGAAAACGTAAAACAAATAGCTGCCAAAAGACAGCACACACCACTCCCAATCGGCCCCCATGCTTTGTTGTATAATTTGTATGGGTTTTGTTAAAGCTGTGGTATGAGTTCGGTGCCAAAAATTGTGTTGCAAGAATCTATAATATGAATAAACCCGAGAAATAATAATGCGTGTGCTGTAATGCTTATGCATTGGCACACTTAAGAAGCATGGACAGTTCATTTAATTTCATGTGTGATCTGTGTGTGACAGTGAAAATGCATTTGATTAGTAGGCAGAAACTTTGCATTCTTTTTGAACATGGGTGTCATCTGCAGTAGACCATATATCTTTGTTTCAGTCATTGTAACTTCTCATCACCACCTCAATTTTGTAAAAGGATCTCCTGCTAACATTGAATGGTGCAGTTAAAGGGCAGCACTGACCACTGCGGTGTAAAGTGGAGCAGTGTTATAGAATATACAGTGCTGTTGCTTTTGTTGATGCTTTAGCTCAGGGATTAATCTGCTGCTGGACAAGATAACCATATGGTGCTAATGGGTAGGGTAGAGTACACAAATAAATGCAGCCAGGTAAATGGCAGCAACAGAGTCTCCCACAAATTACATTTCTATACAGCTAAACTGTATTCTTAAATCTTTTTTGAGAGAAACATATTATCTGCCAGTATGTGAACAGTTTGATGTCGTAGTAAACATTCCCACTGTCAAAGAGTCACAAAGTCCAACAGGACGTTTACCCTGGACACGGTGGTATGTGTCCCATGAGGGACCATTATTCTGGTACGTTTAGTTTTCACTTGCTGTCTGTTTAGGTTTCAAAAAATGTCATGATTTGGGTTCAAATGCATCTTTTCATAAAACTCACCAGTTGGGTGACTCACCCTAACTAATATCTGATTCGTTGAAAAAGAGCAACAGCTGGGAAGCTATACAATAAATGCAAAAGATATATTGATTACAAACGTTTATGTGATTCATCACAAACAAATGTTATCTGTGAGAAAATACATTATAAAGAAATGTGGTTGTACAGGAGCATCATTTGTGGGGGACAGGGCTGGAGCATACGATACATGGTCTTTACAAGTGTATGTACATTTTGTTCACGATTGTATGCTCACACTTGTGTTCATACGCAGAAGCATCTTGACAGAGATAAAGTGTTTGTGCAAGACGCAGAGACGGACAAGCAGCATGAGCAAGATACTGTCTAGCAAACAAGCAAAATGAAATATAGGGCTGTGTCTGGCTCATTAAGTTAGAACAGTGTGCCATTGTACTATAGCTGACTGCACCGACAAACTCCCACTAACTGTCACCCATATTAACACAGCCAGCGAATTACATGGTAAAATAAATTATCATGAATTATTAAAGAGTGTTTTTATGTCCACAACCTTTCACTGAGCTCTCAACATGACAAGAGAACTAATTGAACCTAATCAAAGACAACATTAGGACACTGTGCAGTCCACAGCGACTCTGACAGTTTTCTGGAGGTCACGCAGTGTAGAAGTGTGTCCACCAGGCAGAACTATCAGCAGTACATACTGCAAAGACATTAATTAGCAATTAAAAATGCAAAATGTCACAGCTTGTATGGATATTTTTTTTATTTATTTATTTATTGTAGCTGTACATACAGTACAGTCAAAACGTGTGTCTGTGTGTTAACATCACATTTTGTGCTGAGTATGTCTTATGTGCAACTGCTAGTGCTGACTTGAGCAGTCTTGGAAAAACCATTAGTCTTAATTCAATAAAATTTTCTTAATCTGAATCTTCTCAGAGACTTGTGCCTGACTAGAGGCTCAGTCAAGACCACTTTAGTGTGAAGTGTTAAACAAAAACCTAACAGTGTCTTAGTGCTGTTTGTAGTGAGACTTGTTGCGATATCACTAAAAACAGCCTAAAATTTGAAATGTGGGATATGCCACATTATGAAGAATACGTTTTTTATTGCTAGAAATGTGATCACAAATTTCAGAAGATGTGATTCCTTGTCAGACAAAACAGTCTTGTGCAGTATTACCAGCTAACTTCATAGTTAGTTAGTAATGCTAACTATGAAATTAACTGGTAATACTGTGCTTCAGAATTAGCCCTACCATGGGGTAACATCAGAGTAGGACTTAATGCTGCAATGTTCAGCTGTCTGTGAAATAACAGTGGCTCATGCAGCTCAAGGTGTGTGTGCTGTCAAAGAAATTTTTTTTTTGTATTTTTTAAATAATGGGATTTTGGATTTTATCTTTTCTATACAAGACAATGCTGTATCTCTATGCAAGTGATGCTAGAACTATTGTATGTATGTCTCCCCTCAGTACACACAGTAGAAACATCTACTGTCATAATGTCTTTGAAAGGTAAAACCCACAATTGACATTGATGTTCTAAAAGAATCCTAGCTGTCCAGAAATGTGACAGAACTCCAACTGTTTGCACACCAGAACTCCCTTTTGAATTGCCTATTTGTACTTGTCTTACTGACTCTTCTGCATTTCCCTGTGATGTTATAGGTGTCTGTGGTGGCCTCCCTCTGTGAACTTGGTACTTCACACTCTAAAAGCCCTTCTGAAGCCCGCCGGGAGGTCTGAAGCAACCTTTGAAGGCCTTGGGTGTGAAGCTGGTCTGCAGCGGGCTGAAAGAGATGAAGATAAGTGTGGTGTTTCTGGCAGCTCTGCTGCTCCCCAGCATCCAAGCAGGTCAGTTAAGGGCTTTTTTCGGAGGAAATTTGTAAGCGGAAGAATTTTAAAATACAAGTACTGTAAATCAGTGACATTGAGTATAATTTGTTTGCTTTCAAACACGTCACTTTTTTTTTATTCTTAGCATAATAAACATGTATTTCTTCGACTGCCTTGTCATTACAGTGAACACGGTGTGCATTTGGACTGTAATATATTACTTAATAACATGTCACAGTAATGATTCCTTTAGTAAGTAAATAATAGTATAGGATTACAATTTGAAACATTACAGTTATTATTTCCCATGATATTCTGTTAGGATTACATTTGGTCAGCTGGTTTACGGTCTGATTGGGATTTAATGCTGATTTTTGACAAATAGCAAATTCTTAGCTGACTGCTCATGTTAGCAATTCAGGAATCACCTAGATCAATTTAGAAATAAAGGAAGCATGAACCATACAGCTTGCTTCAGGAGACCTGTGGACAGTCGCAGAGGCTAAACTATCTGCTGCCCAATGGTCAGTCCGATCCTCTAAACTGAAGGGCTGCCTGTGTGTTGCACCACAGTGTCTTGTTTAGTGTTTCTCTGTGTGTGAAATGCAAAGATGTCAGTTGTTGGTTTGGAGGATTTAGGGCTGATTGCAGGCACCTGACAAAGCTAAGGTAAGTACCAATACAAACAAGTACTGTAATATTATCTTTAAAGATGAGTAATTGGTAAAGTAAGTTTGACTGCTTTTTTGAGTAATATGTAATGAGTACATGATTGAAGACGACCATTTTCTTTTTTTTCTTTTTAAAATATTTTTGGGGGCTGTTCTGCCTTTAATGTATAGGACAGTGAAAGAGTGACAGAGACACATGGGTAAAAGAGTGGGGAAAGGACATGCAGCAAATGAGCCGCTGGCTGGAAACGAACCACAGCCGCTGTGTCAGGGACTATAGCCCCCATACATGGGTCATATGCCCAACCTGTTGCGCCATCCAGCCGCCTGACTACCATTTTCAAGCAACTTGACCTATTCTTGTGATTTGATCATACCAGTTATACTTGTCTCTGAACATGCTTATTGACACAGGACTGACACTAAGATGATGACCAGAGACAGGAGGCATTTCCAGATTAGGTACAATTGCTTTGTACCATTCGAGTGCAACTTTATGTTAAAACTGCTTTTGTTTTGGATGCATAGACAAGCAGGAAGCTTGGTACCCTAACCTGTCTTCATCTGTCATGCAGGGAAGTAGCTGCAAGTGTTGATATCTACATGCATATGCAGATTTCTGGAGAGTCAGGTAGTGCAGAGAACCTATTGATACAATTAAAAAGTGATGTGGACGCCACATCTGCACCAGCAGTACACTTCCTGATTGTGATTGAGCTAACTTTCACACCCAATGCATATCACATTTAGGTACGCCTGATGTCTACCATCATGAAACAAACCTGACCATTTTTACTTTGCACTAGTACGGTATGCAGCATTCACATCTAGATTTTTGGTAGCAGCTTAATTGAGTGTTGTACAGAGTGGTAAATGTGGAAAGCTATGTTTGTGGAGATAGTGGTGTGTAGTGAATTAGATGGAGGACTAAAGAGTGTTTTTTTTTTCTTGCAGTTTTCTCTTTTGGTTGAATCTCACTGTGTTTATTACTGTAATTCTGAGTTGCTTCAGGCCGTGAAAAACCTAATTTAAACAATAGATAGACAAAGTTAGACTAGCTGTGTGGAGCATTTGCTGTAGCAGACTAATATTTGGTAAAACTACTGCAGAGAGAAAAACAGAGTAGATATTAGACATTTTTCCTTCTTCTGCTGGATGTGGATATTTACATGATATTAAAGCAAAGCTCAGAGGGACACTCTGTATTGTTTCAGGTGTACTATAGGCTGCCCTCCAACAAAATGTTAAAAATGGGACTGGTATTTTCTGTGCTATTCTTTGGCTAAATATTTTTTTTTTCTTAACTTGTGATTGGTTGGAAAAAATGCACTAAGCATGTCCACCCAGTCTCAAAGTTACTGCCAGCATGGTCGCTGGCCGATTAATGTTTTTTTTGTTTTGTTATTTTTCTTCTTCTCCTTCTCACCAATCAGTTCTCTGTTTTCTTTGTCACTTAATCCAGGCTTGTTACTTTTTTGTTTGTCTTGTGATGGTACATGAGTTCAGTCAAAATATCAGCAGTGAAGTACACCCACACTTTGCAAGAGTAACATCTGCTCCATATGTAAACAGCACCAGCTGTCAAGAACTATGATAGACTGAATGCAGAACAAAGTCACATTGATATCAAAACCTCATAAACTTCAGATTAATTGACAGTGCATTAAAGTATAGTAGACAGGATACGCTCATGTGCACAATATTCTGTTGGAAATGTCTGGAGAACGCAAATATCTAGATTGCCCAATGTTAACAACAGCAGAGTAGAAGTTTATTCTTGACCTCAAAAAGAATAGTTTGACCGAACAAATCTTAATTCAGCATCCACTTACCAGCATTTTACAATGTTTTTCATCACAGTTACAGTGGAAAAGTGGTTAAGAGTTGCAGAAAAATCTCAAGCGTGCAACTGTATGAACTGGGCAGGAGGTGATGAAGTGACCTTATTGGTAGCAGTAGATGCAACGTCCTTCCTGCATGTGTTGCTGATGTTCCTTGGGATTGAGTCACGTTCATCCCAGCTGCATGGGGTCGTCCATCGGTGCGGGAGCAGCAGAGTGAAAGCGTGATGAATGGGTAGATCTGCTGCTAAGGATTCACCAGAGATTAACTTTTCTGGAGGCTGGGTTGCAGATGGGTGAACCAAGCATATTCTGTCTCTCGCTCTCTCTCATATAGTCATTTGTCAACCTTAATAGCCAGGGCAATCAGAGCATCTAAATCCCTAGGCAAGTCAAAGAGAGCTAGCTGGTCTTTTATGCTTGCTGAAAGCAGAAATGTGGAATGGACAGGATGTGGACTTACAACGATGACTTTTGATTAATTGTACAAGAAGCACAGTAATGACCTAAGAGTGGGAGAAAATATCTTTACCATTTACAGCTTTGCTTACCTATTATTGCTCCATTTTAGCCAACCAATCATGCATTAGTTGGGGTTAGACTTGTTACTCTGGTAATCCAGAAAAAGGAGGAGAGGTTTCAAACATAGTTAATATTGTGAAAGGATCTATTTTAAATCAAAACATAATATTTTCAGAACCTGATCTGACCTGACCCGAATATTTTTGGTTCCTGAACTTAACAAAACAGCAAGTGAAAACAAACATATACAGCACTTAAAAATTCAACTAAAGGCTAAGAATAATGGTTCCACATGGCACACGAGCCCTAGTATCTGGACTCAGAAAGCTTCCTCCGGCAACTTGGACGGTTATTTTCTGGATACTTGACTTTGCATTTTAATTTGTATTCCTATTCTTATGAAAAAAAAAAATCAAAATTTGAAGTCACTGAATTAGTTGGTTGCTATATTAATGATTTACATTGTTAGGAATTCAGTATTCAAAACAGTTCATTTGAGCTGTGCATGTTTGACTTTTATTACATTTAACTGTGGTATGAAGTGTACCAAGCAGTGTGCTCTGATGTTTTTCAATTGGTCCACTCTGAATAAGGCAAAAACAAGCTCACAGCAAGAACCAAATACAGTGTAATGGAGCAGTAACACAACAGGGCTCTTTAAAAGATTGTCCCTGTCTTATCCTGTCCTTTCTCCTAATTAGAGTTCTGTAGAGACCAGGTGTAAGGCTTTGAAGTCCTGAAGGCAGGCGTGTTTCTGTGGTGTACTTCTCCTTGGCTCAGCTGGGTTGGTGGTTTTCTGATGAAGTTCAATCCTAGTTAAATGCGTTGTTAGATTAAGAATATAATTCCAAGCAAAGCAGCACGTTCAGAAGTTTATACTCTCAGCTGCACACTTGGTAGGCCTAGATCAGCCCTTCAGACACTTACTCAGAGATGTGTGTGAACAGGCGTTGAACAGAATTTTTCTGCTGTATACTATACATAAGCATTTCTATTTTATGTCTGGACCTTAAGTAGTTGGAGAAAGGGGAAACTTGGACATGAGTAAGTCTGTTTGTTGCCAATATAAATTATTTTGCAGTCTAATAAAAGTAAAAAGAACACAAGAAAGACAAGAATGAAAACGGGAAGACTGGACAAGCCTAGTTTCAAACGTCAACTGTCTGAATAGTAGACGCCCTTATGTTTTTGTGAACACAGAAACAGACATCAGCAGCTTTCTATGAACACCAGACTTAAACCATCATGCATGGGAAAGCAGACAATGGTCATTGACCAGGTGTTAGTGGAATGTGTGTTTTGTGAAATACTGTTTCCATAAAGCTTCACACTCAGTATGCAGTGTTTTGCAACTGGAAACAATTCTAACTGTGGCAGAACCAGCTTGCTATGTTTTTATTCATTAAAATTTGTTAATTTTATTAATGTAATCAAGAAGGAGAGGGAATAGTCTTTTTTTTTTTTTTTTTGACTCTTAGCAAGGCTGCAGACAAACACCTCCACAGACACTGAGCTCTCCAGGGCCAAACAGCCATCACTCACAGACAGCAGGAACCAGCTGATTGTACGTCACCACCTATCAATCTGTGTTAGCCCTCTGGGAAATTTACTTGACACTTCAGGTCCCTGGCCAGTCAATGCCATTGATGGCAAGGAGATGAGGTAACCACCGCACACACCAGAGAGCAATAGATTGAAAGTCTATTGGCCAGACAGGACAGTTACACACACTTTCTCAGTGCTACCCCGATAATAACAGAGACAAACTAAATGGGATTATCAGTCATTCTTACTATTGAGTCAGCAATCCAATAACCTTGTGTACGATTTTATCTCCATTTAGATAGTTTAGCTGACAAAATCAGAGTAGAAAAAAAAAATCTGATCACCAAAGAACTCTCTAATACGTGAGGAAGTATAGTAGTAATACTGCTAATCGTATTTGTATAATTTATGGTGATCCCCCTCCATCTTGTTGTTTTTTTTCATCATGACTTTGCTGGTTTCGTTTTCCAAAATGCCTTGCACCAATACGGTGTGGTCTAATCTGTTGCTTTCAATAAAGGTGACGTTAGTTTGTGTATTCTGTATATCAACAGGAATATCTGACAGTGTCAGCACAGAACACATCCAGTCATCCTCTTCCCCTAGCCCTACATAGAATGTTTCTTTGATTGTTGAATGTCAGTACAAAATAGTGAGTCAAAAAAGAACACAATGTCATTTGATTCTGAGGGACTGACACAAACCAGATTTTTTCCCCCCTGATGCCTACATGGAGTCATTTCCCCTTAAAATATGTCCAATTGTTTTGTTTGTTATATTGGTGTAGTAAACAGCAATGTTCCACTGCTAAAACATTTTGTAAAGGTGGCAATAAAGTCTGATAAAGGCTCATGCAGCTGAAACATATTGGAAAAGGTTTCATTATTTGAAAAAAAGAATGTTTTCCATCAGTTCTTTTGATTCATTCACATTACAGGTACCACATGTTTTTCTTTAAGGTTGTGAAAGGCCAGGGAAAGGCAAGGGTGAGGAGACTCAAGGCCACATTTTATTTCATTTGATTTTCTTGTATTCCTGTAAACAACATCTTCTATTTATTTGCTCTTTTATCGCCCTCCTGCACTGGTCTTGATTGTAGTGCTTGCAGTAGGAATAAGGAGTAATATTAGTTGCCGTAGTGGTCGTAGTATATTGTGTTTAAGGATGTTTTTGTCCAAATGGGTGGAAATTGGTGAAAAAGCCTGCTGTCATTGCCTCCTCTTATCTACAGGTCACTGGTTCAGTGTTCTCTCTTCATCAGTTCTGTGTTTAGCGTGTCTTCGTCGTCAGGTTGATGCATTCAGTTACACAAACAAAAGGTGATCAATATAGTTGTTAAAAACTGAAGAGCTACCTTGGCTTTTGATAAATCTGACAAATCCACCTTGATAAATATAACAAGCCACGAACACCATTGAGATTAGATCACTGGTTTGTTCCTCATGGTTTGCTATTACCTTAATAACAATGTATTTTATAAGATTATCATATGGATTTTTAAGAAGAATATAAATCTATTAAGTGACTTGCAAATTATAGCTGTAAAATATATGTTATGTAATATTTCTCTTTAAAAGGTACAACTATAAAATTATAAAATGGAAATACTTATGAAGAGTATTTGTGCCCAGTCACTGTAGTTAAGTAAACTTTGTCACATTTACCACTCGCAAGCTGTGTGCATCTTTAGAAGTTAAGTGTATTGTGTATTTTCTGTCTCCTACAGTGTGTCCAGATAAAGAGCCCGGACTTCAGCCATGGATGCCAGGACACAGGGAGGACCACCGTGTTACAATCGGCTATGGCAGAAAGGTCCTTCTCACAACTTCCGCTACAGTCCACTCGATTGAGATTCTCAATGGAGGTACACTGGACAAATTAATCTTGTGATACTTCAAGGGTTCAAGATCGGGCAGATATCAAGGGGCAGTTTTGTGTGCTGTCAGAAGCACCAGAAATTCTGGTCTTACATGGATTAAAAGCCAATGAAAGGAAGTTCAAATTTGTATTATTTGATGATATACATACATGTACTGTATATATATACGAGGTGTGTCAGAAAAGTTCCAAGACTGGTCTCACAAAAGACATATTTCAAACCCAAAATATGAATTTTCCCCTTCAGACGATCAACCAGCACGTTTACAAAGAGATCCTGCGGTGTTTGCTTCGTTCAGTGCGCGAGAAGAGGTGAGAGTTGTGGCAGGACAAGTCGTGGCTGCTTCACCATGACAACGTGCCTGCTCACAATGCCCTGAGCATCCGAAAGTTCCTGGCTGAGAAGAACATTAACATGCTTGAGGAACCGCCCGACTCACCCCACCTGGCTCCGTGGGTTTTTTTTCCTGTTCCCCAAGCTCAAGGGGGTCATCAAGGGGACCCGTTTTGAAGACGTGGACGACATGAAGATAGCTATGATGACAGAGCTGCCAAGGATCCTGGAAGAATCCTTCCAGGAGTGCATGGCCGCGTAGCAGAGAAGGTTGGGGAAGTGTGTTAGACTCCAGGGGGATTACTTTGAAGGGGAAAACTCATAGTGTGTAGTTTGGATTTGAAATATATATTTTGTGACACCAGTCCTGAAACTTTTCTGACACACCTCGTATATAAATAGAAACAATTTTAACTGTATCAGAACCACTTAAAGATTTTCAGAACTAACAAGTGGCATGGCCTGAAAACAAACCATTACAATGAATAAGTCTCGATAAAATAAAGGCATGAATTGGGTTGTTGGCATCTGATCCAGATGATTTAAAGATGGGGAAGAATCAAACAGAATGTACAGAAATATCACAGTGAATAATTTTATTTGTTACAATTTGATCAAACTGGTGTCTATGATCAGCAACTGAAATGTAATAATTTGATAATGCTCATTTAGAGACACACACAGCTCAATATTGCCAGAGTAGTACTAGAAGTTCACATAAGGAATTTTTAATGGTAGTATTCAGTATTCATTCTATATATATACACAGCATTAAAAGCTGTACTGAGATTTAATAGAGGCGACACAGAGATGAATTCTGAATTCATAATATGCAGAACATTATTTATCACTTTACTAAATGCATTTTTAGTGGACTGACGCTTCCTGAAAGCATATTAAGATTCAAAAAGATTATGGTTAAATGTAGGCTGATAGCAGCTGAGACCCAAATTTGTCTGGCACTATTTAGCACAGGAAAATGTTTGAGTCTAGTCTATGTGTGTTGCCAAGTGTTTCCTCAATGGCAATGATTGGATTTGATAGAATTCTCTCTATAATCTATAATATGCAATTACTTTAAGGCCTTGCCCTTACTGTGTGGAGTGAACTGAGACAACGTATGTTGGGAAATGGGCTATATAAACAAAATGAATTAAACTGAATAAAATCTGATCAACACGAGTAGAAAAAATAGTTGAAATTGTAGTATTCAAAGCAGTCGGAAGTCTGAGCTTTTGACTCACACGGAATACTTTTACATACATTTACCACATTATTTGAAACTTTGCTGATGTTTGATGTGAACATTCATGCTATATCTTCTTGTTTCCGAGATTTGTAAGATTGTGAACTTAATTTCAATGAACTTTTCAAATTAAGGCATCTCTGGTTGATGTACAAAACACACTGAAGTAAATTCATTTAAGTCTTAAACTTTCTGGGGTAAATTCAATACATTTTAAGGTATAGTTGTTGGGTATTGTCTGATAATGTTGACATATACCATGTTGATAGCAATCTTTGGTTCTATACTAGTACAGTATGTATAATGTGACTTTACCTCTCTCAGCAGAATCCTTATCAGTGCATCAGTGCACATTCTTACATAGCTCCCTGATTCTGCAGTTGTTCCTAAGTGTAACTAAGCGAATAGTCTTTTAAAGTGAAAAGATTTTAGTGCTTTCAATTGTGTTGAATGTATTGTACAAAAGGAGTAATATTAAAAGAATATATATTGTACTGAAAGAAGGGCCTCAGTCATTTTAAGATGTTTAACAGCAATCACTGGATTGCAGATGTTGTAAAAAAAAAATGGTTGGCAAGCTGTATCTGTGTGTGTATTTGTGTGAACAGCCTGAGTCCAGGGCCATAAATGGTAGGAAGACAGAAGATGTCTAAGGGTACTGGGGCATGAAAGACCTGCCAGGAGGCTTCATCACTCACCCACTCCCCTCTCTCCCCTGTAGGAAAGCTGGTGATTGCTGACACCAAGTGGCCCATACTGCTTCGGACAAAACATATTCTGATTGGAAACAAAGGGGAGTTGCACATTGGAAGCCCAGACTGTCCTTATAAAGGAAACCTCACCATCTCCTTATTTGGAAGGTACAATATTAAAAACATGGCAGTGTCAGTGCGTGAATATAGGTTGAAGTCAATTTAATAATTCTGATCTGAATTTTTACCTGCATTGTCCTTTCAATAAACAGTGATCTATCTGGTCTTTGTCTTCCTATTTTGGTTGGATCAATTTAAGATAGTTTGAATAAATACATATTTGTTGAAAAATGGCTGAATCTTCACAGGTACTTATTTAAAAAAAAACTAAATGCCCACAGTGGCTCAGTATAGATGAGTCAGGGTCCTCACTCTCTGATAGGAGTGCTGCTCAGTGACTCCAGCAGTGCTGGACTGGCTTCAGAGTGTGAAACCTTTGTTAGTCAACAATCATGTGGTAAGTCATGATGGATATTTCATTTCATTTCATTCAGTGAGTTTTTATTGCAAACTCTAATTCTGGGACAAATCTCTAGGTTGATGTTTGTGGTTTAAAGCCAAATAGAAGCTTTTTGATTGATGGCCTTAAAATTTGGTACAGTGAGTCGTGTCCCTGTTGGTGTGAGTTTTGCCATGATAGCATGGGAAGAAAGAATGGTGAATATGGTAAACATTACACCTGCATATGTTATTATTGTGAGCATGCTAACATTAGCATTCAACTCAATCCACTATTGAGCTTAAGCACAACCTCACAGACTGGCTAGCATAGTTGTAGACTTTAAGTCTTGTTAAAGATTTACATCTTCAGTAGCCATTAGGCTTTAAGGCTGAATGCAACAAACAATGTCATAAAATTTTGTGAGGGAAACTCCCCACATTTGTGTCTAAGGTGTCACATCTAGCTCCTACTCTTAGAATATGTTCTGTTTACTTTTTTGTTTGTTTGTTGGCTTTTTTTTTTTTTTTTTTTTTTAAACATCTCCTGTTGTGTGTTGTATTCAGCCTTGTCTTGTTACAAGTGTCTTCACACTCTACGGTCTTTGTCTGCACTCCCACCTGTACGATTATCTGCTCCGCACTAATGTGCTTCCCCTGTGTGCAATTATCTCCTTTACCCTTTGTTATTATCCTTGTGTTACATGTGTGTTTGTCTGACTCTGCCCACGGAGGTCTGCCAAGTCACTTTTGATACCTCTGCCTGATTATTGTGCTCCTTTTTGCACAATAAATCCATAGAACCTTTCATGAACCTCCCGAGTGGTACATATTGAGTACAGAACTCAGCCTACTCGGATCCATTTTGTGATCTACAAGCCCAAGGACAACACATTCACCTCCAGAAACTCAATGCCATGAGGCTCAAACTGAGAAACATGGAAGAGTGACAAGAGAGCGTTTTCGCCCCTGTGAGTGAGCAAATAAATCTTCTGGTTCACCAAATTCAAAGACCCTCCATTTGTGCTCCCACACCACACCCTCTCCTGCCCTCTCCGCCCCTAAAAGTCCACCTACCACTGCGACTATTGTTCCCATGCCTGCTGCACTTCCATTCAACTTCATGTCTGCTCCTCATCTCTCCAGTCCGGAGAGATTCTTCAGTGACTCTGGGGACTGCAGGACATTGCTCACCCAGTGTGAACTCCATTCTGATGTTCAGGCCTCAGCTTATCTGACTGATCAAGCTAAAATTGCTTATATTGTATCTCACCTTTTCAGTTGTGCGGATGTTTGGGCTACAGTGGAGTGGAGTCGCAAATTGCAAACTCCCTCTGCTGCGTTTGTTTCCAGGTCATTCATTGGGCTCACTCCTCCCCCCCTCTTGTCACCCTGGCATCAAGAGAGCACTGTCCATGTTGCAGCAATGCCGCTGGTTGCCATCCATGGAGAAGGAGGTGTAGGGTTATGTGCCATGCTGTTCAACTTTAGTCACTTCTAGTTCCTCATTGTCCTTGGTCTAACATCTCCTTGGGCTTTTTCACTGACCTCCTGGTGTCAGAAGGTAACACCGCCATGCTCACAGTTGTGGATCTCTGAAATGGTGTATTTTATCCCTGTAACCAAACTGCTGTCTGCCAAAGGGATGAGTCTGCACTCTCACATATTTAGAATGCGTGGACTCTGGAGGGATGTGATGTCAGACCTGGACCCCAAATATATCTTGCGGTTTTGGAAGATGTTCTGCTCTCTGTTGTGCCTGTCCTTGGATACCATCCCCAGTCCAATGGGCAGACTGAATCAGTACTGAAACTCCCTACATCCCTGAGGATCCAATCCACATTCCATGTCTGCAATGCCAAGCCTACCAAGGACGGCCCATTGTTGTCAGCCACTCCTCATCCACCCTCCGGCTCAGTGATGGTGGACAAACCTACACAGTCAACAAGCTGTTGGCCTTCTGTTATCGGGAGTGTGGTTGCCAGTATCTGATTAACTGGGAGAGCTACAGCCCAGAAGAAGAGCATGAGTCTGAGCCAGCAACATTGTGGATCCTGACCTCGTTTCACCATCTTCATCATGAGGAGCTTGGGCCAGGAGTCATTGTCACATCCAGCTCCTGCTCTTATGTTATATTCTGTTTACTTCCTGTTTAATTTTCCTGTTAAGTGTCATACTTCCTGTTGCCTTGTTGCAGGTGTCTTTACACGCTAAAGTCTTTGTCTGCTTTCCTTCTACACCAGTGTATGCATACTCACCCTTTTCCCCATGTTCTTCACCAGTTCATCTTTTGCCCCTTTGCCAGTATCCCAATTGTTTTCTCCTTGTTATTATCCTTTGTGACCTGTGAGTTTTTCTGACCCTGCCTGTTTCTGACCACTGAGGTCTGCCAAGTAATTTTTGATGCCTCTACCTGATTATTGTGCTCCTTTTTCTGTAAAAAATCAACAGAACCTTTTACAAACCTCCCAAGTTGTGCATATTGACTCCATTGCCTGCTTGTACTGTTGTAATACAGGGTCTTTTCATTTTAAACCTATTTTTGCATGCTTTTCTTGTCTCTCTTTAGTGTGGACTACCAAATGAATGAAATTATCACAGAAGTTCTTTTTTTCTAAAAAGTTATGTTTTGTAAATATATGAATAAAACCTTTTTAAACTATTTGGTGGTGATTTGTAATCAAAACCTGCAAGAAGTATATAGGTATATAGTTTTTAGTTTACTAATGTATACTCCCTGACTCAAATGTCATGTGTACAAAGACGTCGTTAAAACGTTTATAATTCTCCTCCTCTTAGACTGGACGACAGTGATGAGGAACATAGCTACTTTGGGAGAAAGTACGTTGGCGTGGGGACAGGAGGGACACTGGAGATTCATGGAAAAAAGAAGCTGTCATGGACATTCCTCAACAAGACCCTTCACCCAGGACAGAGCAACCAAAACAACTACCTGTTCCAGAGAAGCTGGGGAAACCGAGGCATCATTGTCCACGTAATAGACCCCAAGACTGGAGAAGTGCTGCATGATGACAGGTGAGAGTCCTTTGAACACACAGGCTGTGCCTTGGCTGCTGAACAATCCTGAGACCTAATTAGAGTGGAAATTGTCTGGTGGCTGACATCTTGTAATAAGCTTGTAATAAAGGGTTGTAATTAACATGACAAATAGCCCTCTAAAAGACCTTGCATTGTTTACAGGGATATTACATCTAGAAATCAATTAATATCCTTTTATGACTAATTTTCCATTATGTAACTGAAATTCAGATAAATAGACTGTTGATGTGCTTCTTTTTTTTTTTTTTTTACCACAGTAATAGCTGTATGTCATATATGATATAAAGTTAATGTAAATGCAACTTCTATTTTTCTATTGGGATACATGCTTTAATTATGTTGAAGCCGTTTGAACATATATTTTAGTTCCACTTAAACCACTAAAGTATTTATTTTTTCTTTAAATTTTGTGATAATGTATTTTTATTAGTGGATGAAAGAAAAAAGCTGTTTGACAATATATCAGAAATGTTCCTTTAGCAAGGAGTCACTTTCATGAAACTTGTTAAAAAAAAAAAAAAAAAAACATGTAACAAACATAACAAAATAATACAATTTCTTTTAGTGCAAACTTTCTTTTATTGTTCTTTTTCTGTAGGCATTTTTAAAATATCAGCCTGGAAAGGTTCAGTCAGTCTTGTGTCCTTCCTGTGTATGTACATTCAGTGTATTAGATACGGAGGATCTGCACATTCCCTTTCTCTAAATATATGCCTTCATTTTCACTAACTATTTTCTAAAGAAACTTGCAGTGCACATTTGCATTTCTTACGGAAATTCACGCAGAGTAGCTTTGAAAACACCTGTTTATATTTTAGGATTAGCAAAAGACACTAATGATTTTGTTTCTTTCTGTGTTCCTCTTTTAACCTCCCTTCACACCAACAGGTTTGACACATATCGCAGTAAGAATGAGAGTCGTCGCCTTGCAAAGTATGTGGATGGTGTAGAAGCGGGGCTCATACTGGCCATGATGGTGAATGATGAGGGCTCCAACAACTTGGAGGACTCAGCCAAGAAGAGTATATCCAGGCTAGGGAGTCACCATATCAACAGTCTGGGCTTTCGGTATGCTCCTGAAGTACTGTTCTGAAAAGAAACGTGTTAGCCTCTGGCAAATTGTGATAGAAACTGTCATTTTGACTTTCGACAAAACCGATGTTCATAATAATAATAATAATAATAATAATAATAATAATAATAATAATAATAACAATAAACTAGATTAATAGATTAACAAATTCTGACAATGACATTTGTTTCCACGCTGCTAGTTAGTATTGAGCTTCTGCACTATACAAACTCAGAGGTATTCAGCTCACCATGCCAGGATATAAAATGTGTTTTTGAAGCTCCCAGCACTGTATTGTCTGGAGCATACTTTTAATTGATTGCTTTGAGTTAATGAGAAAATGTTACAACCTCAGGTGAATCACAGTAAATAGCTGTCTTTTTCTAATTAATCCCTGCAGCTTTTGAGGACCTTCTGGTGCTCAGTGATTTCCAATAAAATATCCTTAGTCACATTTGAAAAAATAGAATATAATACTGCTTAGATCCATACATACACAGACATCTACAATATATATACAATATCAGTAGAGTACATGTTTGGACACACCTTCTAATTCAATGGTTTTAATTTATTTTAATTATCTTCTACATTGTAGATTAATACTGAAGACATCAAAACTATGACAGACCACATATGGAATTATATTGTAAAACAAAAGTGTTAAATAATTCAGAATAAGTTTTATATTTTAGATTCTTTTGCTGTGATGGCAGCTTTTCACACACTTGGCATTCCCTCAATCAGCTTCATGAGGTCTTCTCCTGGAATGGTTTTCCAACAGTCTTGAAGGACTTCCCAGAGGTGCTGAGCATTTGTTGGCTGCTTTTCCTTCAGTCTGCAGTCCAACTCATCCCAAACCATCTCAGTTGGGCTTAGGTCGGATGATTGTGGAGGCCAGGTCATTTGACGCAGCACTCCATCACTTTCCTTCTTGGTCAAATAGTCCTTACATAACCTGGAGGTGTGTTTGGGGTCATTGTCTTGTTGGGGAAAAAAAATGATGGTCCCAGTAAGCACAAACCAGGGATGGCACGGCGCTGCAGAATGCTGTGGTAGCCATGCTGGTTAATGTGCCTTGAATTTTGAATAAATCACCAACAGTGTCACCAGCAAAGCCTCCCCACACCATCACACCTCCTCCTCCAGGCTTCACGGTGGGAACCACACATGCAGAAGCCATCACTCACCTTCTATGGTCTCATAAAGACACAGCGGTTGGAACCAAAAATCTCAAATTTGGACTCATGAGACCAAAGTACAGATTTCCACTGGTCTATGTCCATTCCTTGTGTTTCTTGGCTCAAACAATTCTCTTCTTCTTCTTGTTCATTCTCAGTTGTGGCTTCTTTGCAGCAATTCGACCATGAAGGCCTGATTCAGTCTCCTCTGAACAGCTGATGTTGAGATTTGTCTGCTGTTTAAACTCTGTGAAGAGTTTATGTGGGCTCTAATCTGAGGTGCTTTTAATTTGTAGTTTCCGCGGCTGGTTACTTTAATGAACTTTGCAAGCCGAGGCAACTCTTGGTCTTGCTTTTCTTTTTTGATAAATATATTTTTTGAGCTTTTTGCCTTTATTTAGAGCAGTAGATATAGACGGGAAAGGGGGAGAAGAATGGGGAGAGACCTGCAGCAAAAGGTCGGGAGCAGGAGACGAACCCACAACCACTGTGTGATGGAACTTGATAATGCCCTTGTTTATGGGTCGCCTGCTCAACTAGGTGAGCTATAGGGGGTGCCCTGGTCTTCCTTTTCTTGTGAGAGCCAGTTTCATCATAGCCTTTGATGGTTTTTGAGACTATTTGAGGATACAGTCAAAGTTCTTGAAGTTTTCCGGGTCGACTGACCTTCATGTCTTAAAGTAATGATGGACTGTCGTTTCTCTTTACTGAGTTGAGTGGTTCTGGCCATACTATAGATTACAACAGTAGTCAAACAGGGCTGTCCACTGTGTACTAACCCTACCTCTGCACAACACAACTGATGGTCTCAAACACATTGATTAGGCAAGTAACTCCACAAATTGACTCTTGACAAGAGACACCTGTTGGTTCAAAACCATTCCAGGAGACAACCTCATGAAGCTGATTGAGAGAATGTCAAGAGTGTGCAAAGCTGTCATCAGAGAAGAAAGGGGGCTACTTTGAAGAATCTAAAATCTAAAACATAATCTGCTTTGTTTAACACTATTTTGTTAACTACATAATTCCATATGTTCTTTCATAGTTTTGATGTCTTCAGTATTAATCTACAATGTAGAAAATAATTAAAATGAATAAAAACCATTGAGTGAGAAGGTGTGTCCAAACTAATGTTTGACTGATACTATATAAGACCAGATAATTCTGTCCTGTGCAAACCCATACACACTCACACACACCCTTTCCTTGTTATGGAGCACATTGTTGAATCACATATGCTCAGTCTTACTCTGCAGAAGGTGTTTAGGTGAAAACGCTCATCCTGTCAGTATGTATTAGTTTGTCATGAATGCAAGGGAAATGGAAACTGAATCATGCCGTGATAACAAAACCTCGGAGATGTCTCAAAGTTTCTGACACCAGGTTATCAGAGTATACACTTACATAGACACATTTCTCAAACAACACTTGACTATGCTCTTTTATTTTTCATAAATAAGAATGCAGGACTGTTGGCTACATGACTTTACACAGTAAACCACAAGCTTGGGTGTGAATATGTTTTTGCACAGTGCTTGTCATTTGCAATATTAGTGGCCTTGTTGTGGGCTGGGGGAAGATGCTGGTGAATCTTGGCAGTGAGGCCCTGTGATTAGTCTCCAAACCATGTGGTGTTATGAAACTTAATGCTGTCTTTGAGAACGCAGGAAACAGTGAGAGAGTTTCATAAATGAGTTGAAGACAAGTTAACATTCCATTCCCAATTTGCACTTTGCTCTATGGTTGTGGATGCTGCAAACTAAATGGATGGGAGCAATGGTGAGGCGACAGAGGAATTCCTGCTTAATGACTCTTGTCGCCTGCTCCCTCCACACTATAGCCAAAAAGGCCAACACTGGTGTCGTCAGGAGAGAGAGGCTTTGTAATTTGTGGTGCACCCAGAGACAATTTAATAAGGTGGAATTTATGAGACAGTGTAGACTCTGAAATCCATTTCCAGTTATGGAATTTGTATATGCTTACTGCCGCTGTGACACTGGTGTACTAGTAACACAGCAACACACCTCTGATGGGTAGTAATAAAGGACTTATAGATGTGGTTTAAAGTATTCAGGTACTGCTTTAGTACCAAAGTGTGTTATAAGTTGGATGTTGTATTCTCAGTTCACTTTACTTATTCTCAAATCGCATGTTCTAGATTTAATTAATTTAATATATTAAAAATGGGGGCACAGTTGGTAACACTGTTGCCTCGCAGCAAGAAGGTCGCCAGTTCGCATCCCGGTGAGGGCCTGGTTGGAGTTTGCATGTTCTCCCCGTGCAGCGTGGGTTCTCCCCGGGTTCTCCAGCTTCCTCCCACAAGGTCTAAAAACATGTTGAGGTTAATTGGTGATTCTAAATTGTCCGTAGGTGTGAATGTGAGTGTGCTTGGTTGTCTGTCTCTAAGTGTAGCCCTGTGATAGACTGGTGACCTGTCCAGGGTGTCCCCTGCCTTCGCCCTAAGTCAGCTGGGATAGACTCCAGCCTCCCCGCGACCCTAGTGAGGATTAAGCGGTGTATAGATAATGGATGGATGGATATTAAAAACATCTGAGGTGCTCAGTTTGTTATTAAACAGAATGTTAGGGTTAAAAGTGTAACATATAGTTGTGCAACAAGGTATTTGCTTAGACAGCAGAAAATGTGTAGTGTGCTGTATACCAGAAGCCATATCTCCAGCACCACTGTCAAAGCTCTCTCTTGAATATCACACAGTTTACACACATTCACAGGTGTCTTTTGAGAACGTCTCACTTCCATTAACATACACACTGACACATATGATCATAGAGTCATACAAATGCACAGAGTAACCTTAGTTCACCCTTGACAGGTAGCATGGCTTTACCTGAATGACACATGCTGGGGTAGCTTTATTAATGACTCACTCTTGGCATTTGTGGATGTGAGCCACTCGTTCTTTATGTTAATGTTGTTAAACATATCAGGTGATCCTTTGTGTGTCTGTGTGTTCAGGTCTTGTTACCTGAGCTCTGCTGCTTCTATATGTGTCTTCTTTTTCTACTTCTGGCCTCACATCTTCTTTTTTGCTACATCTGTCAGTCTTCTCTTTCTGTCTTCTTACTGCACATTTTATCTCCATTTTCTGCTTTAGCTCAACTCACAACTCCTTTCATTTATCCAATTTACCACCTACTTTCTCTCTCTTTTCCTCTTCTCACCTATATTTTTTTCCTTCTGTACAGTCATCCTTGGACCTTTATAGTGACAAAAGGGAATGTGTCTTCAGTTGTGGAGGATCATGATGTATATCAGGGTAAGAATGAGTTTTTGCTTCTAACTTGAGCTTTTGTGTGTAGAAATGTGCCCCTGCATTGCATTTTACTTGAACTTGATCAATGGTTTTATGTTATGTAACTAACATTTCCATAATGTGTGTGTTTTAACAGGGACCAAGGCCTCCTCAGAGGCCCAGAGCTCAAGTGCTTTTCTGTCAAGTTTTGGGGAGCACTTCACCATCACCACCAGGAGCCAATGGGTGCAAGGTAACTCTCCTTTCTGGCTTCCTATTACACAGTCATCACATACGACATCATATACGACAAGTAGATGTGCTTCATTCAACCAAATAAATGATTAGATTTAGCAAAGCTTTGGTACCTATTTATAAGAAAATGTGTTCTCTTTATCAAACAGCTACATCAGGCTGCAGTCCAAACTGCTGATTTGTGCAAGTGTTTGCACAAGCCATCTTTGGAGGATTGTGCAAACACTGGGATGAGACATGATAACAGAGCTCAGTTATGTATATGGCTAAAAAAAATTTAAAGACAAGATTGAAGCACAGTGCAAATGGAAATTATGAATGAGCACAATGTCTGATAGCAGTAACTTAAATGAACACATTTACTGCAGGATAAACTTTTCTTTTAAAACCATGTAACCATGCATTTGTATCTAGTGACCTTTAGAACAATCCTTCTGCACTGACAATGAAGAAACAAACAATAAAACCCACAACATAATTTAAAAATATGACCAATAAATAACAAGCTGCTAATGACATACTCACACCTTATGCGCAGTGATGCACATTCAGGTTCCTCCCACACAATGAGCTGCATTTGCTTCTGTGGGTGACAATAGCAAGACTTCATATGACCAGGAGACTGAACAGCTGACAGGAATGCAGAAGGTTCTTTATTGGCAGCATCAAGCTGTTGGATGCATTAAAGTAACTGTTGAAGTAAATATTCTATCCTTACAACAAATTCAAACAGTGTTCCTCACTGAAATATGGGGATTAACTTTAAAAATGTGTCATCATATATATAATGATCCTTGTAAATCCTTTCTGAACTTGGTGTCGTTTTCTCAACCGCAGCCTTTATAATGTTGCTTTCACTAAGTCTTTGATATTTCTTAAATGAAATGTGAGGAAAGTAAATGAAAGTCTCTTTGAGTGGATCTTACTTGAAAGCATCTCCAGAGCCAGTGGTAATGCATTAACAGTATATGGTAGCAGAATAAGAGCAACGTTTTTGTCACACCGATATTGCAGGTGTTTTAGAAGCTGTTATTGATCAGCCTTGTGGTGATGTCGTCACCACATCATCTTCCCATCTGCTTTGCTGTTATTGACATCATGTTTACCACTATTTTAAAGCTGATTCCAAATAGATGCTTCTCATCAAATGGTATTTCATTTGATAAACCTGTCTCAATGTAGAATGAAGATTTGGATGCATGTATACATGTATATGATATGCACACAGTGCAAGAAGCTGTGCGGCCTGCAAGCCAACATTCTCAGGCAACCTAACTATGTGCTGAGCTTCAGATTAGAATTCAAGCCCTCAGTCAAATGCACAACCCCTGCTGTGGCAGCAAGACTGAGGGCATAATGGGAGGAGGAAGCCCTACAATTGCTTTGATTCAAATACTCTCTGACAGCATAAATGTAGTACAAGCATTGACATAGATTACTCTAACACCACCTGGACCACTGAACTAGAAGGCAATGGTGTGTCTGTGTGTGTGTGTGTGTGTGTGTGTGTGTGTGTGTGTGTGTGCCCCACAGAGGCAGAGTGGTCAGACTGGTTTGACAGGGATGATGAGAGGGGATCTGGAGACTGGGAGAAACTGTCTGACCTGCATCAGAACTATCCAGACCGACTGTGTAGCAGTCCACTGGACATCCAGGTAAATTTTGTCTTACTCACACACTCATGCATTTATGGAAAACAACACAGCATAACATAGCATAAGACTACATAGAAATCTGGAATATGTAGTGGTGCATTAGCATAGTAGTGTGCAATGGCACACCACTATGCTAATGCCAAACATGGAAGGGCCTGTACCTTGAAATTCTGGGATACTGAAAATATTCTCCTGCCTCATAGAGGAGGGAATATATTAAGCAAAACAAAGTTACGACACTAAGAAATTAACCGATGGTGTCTTTTATGAATGAATTTCTTAATAAGTTTAACAGTTTCTGTGATATTTTATGATTTCTATTTATTTGCGTTGTGATAATTTGGCCCTGAAGCAGGCAATGCCCAGAACCTGTCCATCTTATGACAGACAGCTATTGGTGGGTTGTGTTCATTTTAAACATATACATCTCTACTGCCTCTTCTTACTCTGTGTTGCAGAAATCTGGACGAGCCTTAGCAAAAGCAATCAAAGTGCAACAGTATTTGTCTTTTGTGTTTTATTGAAGTATAAAAGCAGTAACATTGAATAGAATATTTCAGCTGAAAGGCAGAGCTCCTACACCAGGCTCGTGTTCAGAGGTCTGACCAAGATTCAAGCAAGACAATGCAGACTTATAGTAGTGTCTGTCCTTCAAACAGTACAACTTTACCTTTATAATACAGACAAAAGGTGCTCCTCAGCCTCACTATTATCATGCTATGGTAATGCTGAGACCAAGGTTTGTGGTTGTTACATGATAAATTCACTTCACTCAGCTCAAAGGGAAATTTTGCTACAACACTCTGATGACAACTTCAGTTGCTGTACTCTTAAGCTAAGCCAACTGTTTGCTTCACATTTCATGCTTCCTTGTATACATGCATGTATATGCACAGTCACACACATCTTAGAAACTGCCAGCAAATGCACTCACCAAGCAGCAGAGATGAGAGCTGATAATGCTGGTAGCTGGGTCATTACCATATTCTTCTGAAGCAACTTGAAAACCTCCTGATAGGTTATCACTGGAAGCTTTATTACTGTGCCAAGGTAATATTCTGGAAAGCTCCCTCTGTGTAAATGTCGAACTGCCTGAGGTAATGCTCCTTTCAAATAGATTTAAAAAGTGCTATATTTGTAAAATACTTCAGTTTTCCTCTTTAGGTAAAGCAATGGTAAGTTAACTAATTACAAGCCTGTGGCATTCTGATTTCTTCAAATATCAATGTCAGCTGACTGTAGGCTGTGACTCTGTCCCATCATTGTGCAGGTACTGGCATGATATACTCTGTTTCATGATCTAGAATAGAAACAACCTAGATGTGCATTTTCAAAAAAAATTTCATAGGCGAGCATAATTGTCCACTAATACAATGCAGCCACGCCTGAGGTGACTCCCACAGTGAAGCAGTGGTGTAAACAGTAATTGTTTTGTAAGTCATATGTAGATGACTCAAAGTCTTTGCTATAAAATCATGAGACAAGATCAAAGAACACATGAATTTCTGCCAGTTTTGGTCCCTGTGGCCAGGCATTCATTAGTGCCCTAAAGTGACCGACCTTATGCCAAGTGATTTAATGATATTTTACTTAATGCAGCTTTATACAAGTTGTACTGTGCTGAGGCTTTATCAGTAGGCTGTCTAACACCCAAGTGTTATGATCAATCTAAAGAATATATCAATATGTACTATAACCGGTTTATTACAGACATGTTTGCATAGAATAGAATAGAACAGAATAGAATAGAATAAAACTTTATTGACCCCTTTGGTGCAAACCTCAGGGAAATTGTTGATGTTGATGATGTTCATGTGATCAGCAGTGAGTTTGTGCTAATACATAACCAGTCTAATTTACATAAACACACAACGTTAGACACAGTAAACAGACACAGAGAAGCAGCTCCAAATCATGATTCTTTCTCGTATTTTACTCGACTATCCTAATTGTTCCATTTCTCCTTGTGATATTTAAATATGATCTGCTGTCAAAAACACTTAAATGTTTTCTTCCTCTGTACACAGATTTGTAAAGAATGATTTTCATATGAAACAGCAGTGATGTTTTAGTTGCATTAAGTTGCAGTAAGTTAATACAACTTTGAAAGGTCTAAAGAAAATTAGAAGTGAATGAAGATGCTATGAATCTCTATCTCTTATGCATATAAAAGCAATCTGAATACAACACAGGCATGGCAGACTAAAGGTAATAGTGAAAAAATATGAAATGACTATTGTAGAAAAAAGACCGGAAATAGTAATACACATTGTTAAATTTAAGAATTTATTTTCCTGAAAATCTTAAAAATTGTTGGTTTTGTCAGTGAGATGTTTATTCACAGAAAGTGAATGAAGAGGTGAGCAGCTGTATACAGTGATCAGGGATTAACCAGACTAACTGGGGAAGGGTGAAGGGGAAGTGAATAGGAAAGCTAAAAGCACAATAGGCTAGATTAACTACAGGGAACTGAATCCTCCAGACAGACAACAGAACTCTCATGTAGCTTGCAATGAATGCAGAAGAAACAGAGCTACGAATCAACTGGGTCAGAAAGAGAGACTAATCACTGGCAGATCAAAGGGCAGGGTAGGCACTGGTGCAGGTAGAAGCCAACCAAAACCAAGTAACACATGGCACGGGCAGCTGTGGCTCAGGTGGTCCACTTATCGCAAGGCTGGCAGTTCAGTCTTTCTGTTCCACATGTCAAAGTGGGCTTGGGCAAGACACTGAGCCCAAAGTTGCTCCTGATGGCAGGGACCGCCTTGCATGGACGCTCTGCTGCCACTAGTGCATGAATGTGTGTGTGAATGGGTGAATGAGAAACATGCTGTAAAGTACTCTGATTACCACTAAGTTGGAAAGGTGCTATTTAAGTGTAGACCATTTAAATTTCAGGTGAGTCCACTAAAGCTTGCATTCACCTCTCCCAACTTTTCTGCAAGACAGCTTCCTCTGTTGTGTACACTGGACTGGTGTCTTTCCCTCTACCTGAGTTCAGAGTTCAAGCCCCATTATGCCAAACTTTACCCTATCTGCTCCAGGGATGCTATAGTGTGATATGTGCTCTGATCTTTGAGTTGTGCAAAAAGACTGCATTTGGTTGTACTCACAGCAATGACAATAAAGTAGTCTTTGTTTTAACATAATCCTCTGAGGACAGACTGGCACCATAAAGTAACTGCTGTTAAGATAAGTAGTGGTGCTAGACCTGCCCAGACTGCCTCCACTGCCCATAACATCAACATAAAAAATAGCCATTATAGGCTCCAGTTGGTGTTTTTAATGGCTGCTGTGCAGTTTGCTACCTTCATTACACCTCCTTTTCATCTCCTTGCATTCTGTTCTTTATGTCCTCTTGTTTTCTTACTGGACTTTACAGTTTCTCAGAAAATGTACTGCTCATAGTTTCTTGTTTTAGTTTTCTATCTGGCTTTTATGTACCTACCATGCAATGGGTACTTGCAAATTCATTTTTATTTCCCTAAACATTTAGGAAGAACTTCTATATTCTCGATTGTCAATTCTGTGTGTGTCATGAATTTTCCTCTGAATCTGGAAATAGTTAAAGTTTTCTTCAGTTTGGAGTTTTCACTGTATAATTTGACTCTGTGGGATCTCTATTTTTAGCAGCCAAGTGTTTTTGTCGCCTTTTTTCAATATCTTGCGTAATGTGGTTCTGATATGTTTTGGATTATCTGGCCATCCTGAGATCAGATAAAGTAAGATGGCTCAGTGCCGGAGGCTGTACGTCTGTGCTTAACTGTTTCAGGTTTGTACTGTACGAGTAACATTAAAGACCACTTTAGTTCAAGTGGTCATAATTAGTGTTTTTTTCCCTCTTGTTTAGACAGGTTCCTCACAAAAACAAACAAACAAACAAAAGAAAACATATTAAAAAAGGAGACTGGCCTTTCCTCTGTTATGCCACCAGATAAAACTCTAGCAGGAACTCTGATAGACTGCACAAGAGCACTTTTAGTGAATCTTTTCCAGCGTATAAAATACACAGAAAGTTGACTGGCATTAAGTCTGGATTGTAATAATTAACCAGTGTTCACCATGCTCTTGCTGTGCAAATTGTGTGGAAATTACTGAGCTTTGTGTTACAGTGTTGCAAAAATTGACGTGTGCAGGACTCTGCCCAAGTAAGTTGTTGTGTCTAGACCCAATGGGAAACAGGGGAACATTGAACCCTTACCCTGACTGCTGGCAGCCTTTATAAAATTCCTACTGTTTGCCAAGAAAATAAGCCAGATGCTAGACAAACACCAGATGTCTTGTGCAAAAATACATCATTTCAATTTAGCTAGCAAGGGATGTCCTAATGCCAAATGACCAGACGTTGCACTATCTTTTTCTCTTAAGCTGTGGACAAGCATATTTCCCAAGATTTGGAAATGTTTCTTTATTCTTTAGTAACGGTGTGACTCACAATAGCACTGGTGTGTCACAAAAACATTCTCTGTTAATTTACGTCATTCATCTCTCCAGGCTGAAACCCATGATGGCATACCGTCCAACCAGACAGGAGATGTGATCTACAAGAATGACAAGGACTATGGCTTCGTCTGCCTCAACAAGGACCAGGCTCATGGCCTGTGTCACAACTACAGGGTTCGCTTCCTCTGTGGAAAACTGGGTACATTCATCACTTACTGACAGTGTTTGTGTGTATATGTGAGCATGCCATGTGTATGTGTGTGATCTTTGTCTGCTGTAGGCTTTAATCATGTTATATTCACAAGTGCAGTTTCACAAGTATGTAGAAGTATTAAGCTGACCAGTGTTGGTATATAGTGTATCAAGTCAGTAACACTCACAATGTGCTGCAGAGAGAGAGAGAGAGAGAGAGAGAGAGTGTGTGTGTGTGTGTGTGTGTGTGTGTGTGTGTGTGGGCAGGCTGCTATGGTTGGAATGCATGAAGCCCACATCATGGTGCTGGAAAACACTGGCACCACACTTTGATACCACAGACCTTTGTCTGGGCTTGTTGCTGTCTTTGTTTGCGTATTATATGACTAGTGCTTGGGAGTGTTGACTTTTGTAGTGTCAGGTCAACGCCGGGTGCAATTACCCATGCATGCACTCACAATGTAAAACAGTACAACTGTACTGCACCACTGATTCTATGAAAGCTTTTGTTTGCCTTTATTATTAACTAAGAATGTGAATTCAAGCCTTTTTTTTCCACGATGTTGCAAAAACAACTGCATCCAATCCAGGTAGAGTTTCAAGAACTTATAAATACACTTATAAAATAGGTTCATTCAGCTCATTCCAAAAGTAAAATTATTTGTGTTCTGTGTAGTGTTTCTTGAGGTAATGTTTCTGTCATAATGAAGCATTTGAACCCTGAACAGCATCAGGGGCTTGGGCACTAATTGTACATACACTGTTCAGCACCAGTGTTAAAACAACTGACAGGTGAAGTGAATCCTAATGATTGTCTCATGACAATGGCGCCTGTCATGAGGCTGGATATATTTGGCAGAAAGTGAACAGTCATTTCTTGAAGTTGATGTGTTGAAAGCAGGAAAATGGGGCAGTGTAAGGACCTTGGCAAGTTTTTAAAGGGCCTACTATGATCATTTCACAACTGGGTCAGAGCATCTCCAATGTAGCAGGCTTCGTGGGGTGCTGCTGGTATGCAGTAGTAATAACTAAACATGGTCCAAGGAAGGAGATGATTGAACCCACCACAGGATCATGGACATTCAAAGTTCTTCATGCACATGAAGAGGAACAGCTGGCTAATGTGATCTGACTCTACAGAAGACCTACAGAAGCACAAATAGCTGAAAACCTTAATGCTATGATATGAAAGTGTCAGAACACACAGTGTATTGCAGCTTGTGGCATATTTGGATGTGAAGCCGCTGCCCAGTCATACTACCCACACTGACCCCGTCCACCTCTGAAAGCACAGTGGGCACATGAATATGGGACCATGAAGCAATGGTTAATGGTGGCATGTTCTGATGAATGGTGTTCTTTCACATTATGTGAATAGCCAGCTGTTTGTGTGTCGTTTACCAGGAAAGAGATGGCAGCAGGATGTAATATGGGGAAGAAAGCAGGCCACCGGAGGCAGAGTGATGCTGCGGGCAATGTTTATTTCTGCAGACCATGTATACTTCTTTATGGCAGTAATATTTCCTGATATCAGTGGCCTTTTTCCGTAGGATTATCCCAGCTACACTGCAAACATTTTTCAGGAATGGTTTGAGGAACATGACAGCTGAAGGCGTTCGCTTTGCCTTAAAATTTTCCCAGATCTCACCGTGATCCTAACCAAACTATGACACTGAATTGCTGTGTAAAACAAATGTGGAAGAACAGTGAACGGAGAATGTCTGAAGTTTTGTTACTTTACTTGACAGACAGTTGCCTTAAAAATCTGATTATAAAAGAACAGAGTCACAAAGTTCAAAAACTTTACTTAAATAAAGATCATTCATGTTGCTTATGCCACATAAAAAATAGTCCTACTGGAAATTAGCCGGGCTTACAATATGCACTTATGCACTATGGGCATAGATGGGATTCAAGCATCCCAAAGCAGGCTAGGGTTGTGTGAGTGACTGTGTAGGCCTGTGTGAATGTGTGTCAACTTTAATGCGTTCAGTGAGTTCTAACTCTCCTTACCTTCCTCCTGTAGTTCGTCCACAGGCCTCTATTTCCATTGACATGTTGTCGAACAGCAGCATCCTGGAGCTCTCCGACCACCCAGCAGGCTGGGGGTCTGGGGATCGGGTGGTTGTTGCCAGCACAGACTACTCAATGCACCAGGCTGAAGAGTTCACCCTGCTGCCCTGTCCGACTTGCAAATCCAACGAGGTCAAAGTCAAAGGTAAGAGAAGCAGTGACTTATAGTGGGCATAAAATGCACTTCAACAGGTTTGAAGACAGGTCTTGTGACAGTTGCTGTTTTAACAAGGAGGTGTATCAATTAGCCTTTCCCACTAACATCCTCCTTGCCCACAGGATTTGAAAAACTCTAACAAAGTTTTGACAACTGTAATATGACATCATCTCTAAAGATCACTTGCTGACATGCTGTGTTTTCTTTGCTTCATTCATAAACAAACTAACTCCAAAAACAAAGATGTTGTAAAAAGAAATCTTCTCATAAAGAAACAGAAACAAAAAAAATGCTGGATGTGTCGTATTCTACAACTATTTCAATAACTGATTGACTCCAAAGTGAAATAAATTAAGTAAAAGCTTTGAAATTCTTGATTCAATTTGCATCAAAGAGAATCAATCAAATGAAAAATAGGTTTGAAAGTTTCATTATCCATTTTTTGATTACTTCATACACAAATAGTTGTCTCTCAGTTCCAATTTTAATTCTTCATATTTGGGTTGTTGCTTCAATATTTGACTTTTGAACAAAAATGACTCAACCACATTTGGGTGGGTGATAGTGCATCCCAGTCTCACGGCAATTTGTGAAATAGTCACGAAACTTAATCTATCATTTCGTGTCCTGGGACACAAATTGCCCAACTTTTTCGTGTTCCCAACCAATAAATTTAAATTGGAATTATCTTTCATTCTTCATTTAATTGCTTTCTATCTGAATGAATACGGAGCTTATACACAGCACCAGTGTTTACAGAATGTTAAAGTTGGTCGGTGTGGGGGCACACATCTTTATAGTGATCTCTATAGATATTAGTGTGGATGGGCTATAACAGCAAAATTGGTTAAAGTCTGACTGGAAGAAAAAAACGACAATATACGCATATACGCTGTCTAATATTGGAAAAAACGTGGCCCAGACATGAAAGATAATTCCAATTGAAATGTACTGGTTTGAAATTCGTGCTGGGGAACACGAAAAAGATGGGCAAATTGTGTCCCAGGACACGAAACAATAGATTAAGTTTCGTGACTACTGTATGAACTGGATAAAAGAGGTGCTTCATTTTCTTAAACTAGAAAAAATAAGGTTAACCTTGTCTGGATGTGAGAAGACCTTTTAAAAAACCTGGAAGCCATTGTGGTCATATGTTCAAAGCACAGATTGCCATCTTAATCTGGACTGAGACACTGGGCTGAAAAAACCTGCTACATTTTACACTTTATTTATTTATTTATCTGTTTATTTGTTAATTTATTTATTTTTATGCTCTATTTTGTGCCAGGGGAGGGGTACGGGTGGGGTTGAGGGGTTTAAGTATGTTTTTAAATTTATTTATTTTTTGATTGTGTGCATTTGTCTTGTTCTAATTGTTAAAAATTAATCAACAAAATTATTATTTAAAAAAAAAAGTTTTGTGACTACTTCACGAATTGCCATGAGACTGGGTTGAATAGTGTCAAAGTGGCATATAGGAGCCATGCCAGGACCCAGCAGAGCGCTGCATTACAACAATAAAAGAAGTATTTACGTTACCTGTCAGAGTTTTTAAAGTTGTGGCTGACTTTTGTATTAACTGTAGCTATTTGACGATTATTGTCATTACATACACACAAACACACACCGTCTGGGTCAGTTGTAGGGAAGTGTGGTGAGAGGTACACTCAACAAACTTTATGTAGGCTGCTTCTCTCTGAACAACAACGGTAACAATACAGTGGCCTGTGGTTCCAGTCTAAGAAATGTTCACGTACGTCTCCTTCAATGAAACATGTTTTCTCATCAGTTAGTTCTCAGTCAGATGTGCGACATAAGATACATAATGCAGCTGCGCTATTTGACTCTGCTGTTGCTGCTTCCCTGGGTGCTAAAGGTACGGTCCATCCACACAAAACACAAGTGGAAAATTTCTTCTTCTATATATTTTATATATTATATCAACTACCCAATTGTGAACAAGTAAAAGTTAAACTGAGAGATAATTATCCATTTGTAAAGAAATGTTTTTGAAAAAAAGTGATAATGAAAGTTACAAACCCATTTTTCCTTGATTCTCTTTGCTAGTGCAAACTGAACAAAAACTGCAAACAACAGATCAGACGATCTTTGCATGTCTGTGTTTTGCAGTTCAATATGAAAGACTAAAAAATGCATCTCTTTGCTAGAAGTAGCTCTGCAAAGGGAACATGAAAATGAATCAAATGAAAAATATGTTTACAAGTTTTATCATCCATTTTTTGATTATGGATTATGAACTTGATTTTATTATTATGTTGATTGTGTGCATGTGTAACAAGAAGAACAGAGAGTGTGACTGAGGTTGAAGTGATAGACAGATGTCAGATAGTTTCTGAGCCGAAAATAGAGGAAAGGTTCCTGAGTTTAAAATAGACATGGTGTCTGTTTGTGCGATGGGTTTGCTGTGGTTTGCCCTGCAGTAAGGGAAACATATGAATATCTGCCAACTAAATCGTTACCAAACAATTTCTTCACCAATATGTTTGTGAAGGTGTGTTATAACACGTTTTAAAATGTTGGAATTCAGCTCCTGTGGGAAACCCTGAAAAAACCTGCTCAAGTTAGGGTACCGATAAATGATTATCGAATAATCTTCTTCTTTTTTTTTTTTGAAATTGGGCCTTATGAAGGGTCAAATCAGGTTTTTTTTTCATGATTCTGAATTGATTGTTAGCATTTATATTTCACCACAAACACTCCATTGTTGAAAAAGGCCACACTCACGTTTACATTTACATTCAAAGCAGCTTTTATTTCACATCCTATGATGACAATAATGATGATGATGATAATGATTATTGTTATTGTTATTATTATCATTTGTTGAAGTAATAGCAGTGTTATCATTATTACCTGTCAGATAGAGTTGTTTTCCCATGGCCAGCAACTGTAGATACCATATCCACCCTGTGACAGAAGAGCAGGTAGCCCCTCTGTTTTTCAGAGAGAGATTCTTGGATTTTTGGATGTCATAAGAGCTGTTTGATGTGGTTAAGAAGAATCTCTCTTCTCTGGAAATCAACATCGTCATCATTATTGTCATCATAGTAAAAATATTAAAAATAATAAAGGAGGCAGTGATTCAGGCTGGTAATGCGATTTTCCAGTACGTTTATCATGGACCAGATACTACATTGGGTGAAATTTGGTACAACATGTTCTCAAGGAAGGCAGTGGCAGGATACATAAAACCAGAGACTCTACCTCCAATGGAGGGTGCAGCTGCACAGTATTCACTCTGAGCCTACCTGCACACCCAGGGCTGCATCCTTCTACAGAACATGTCTCTGAAGCCCAGTGCCTATGGATGGACATTAGGTGTGCATGGGTATGAGCCAGTTCCAACACTAGACTCCATGATTCCTGAGGAGCTCCTGAAGTTCATGAGCTGTAATTGGCATGGACATTGCAGCTACAAGAAGAATGGGGTCACAAGCATTTCAGCCTGTGGAATCTGTAAAGGCATGACATGTAGAAACTGCAGTCATGATGTTGTTGAGTCTGAAGAAGACGTAGACAATGACTCTTGAAGCTTCTGTCATGTGAATGAGAAACAACTCTGAGTGTCACATAAGTATGTGAAGTAAAAGCAACTGTGAATGTAAATGTAAAAGTGAGGGTGGCATTTTTCAAAAATGGAGTGTTTGTGGTGAAATATAAATGCTAATAATCAACTCAGAATCATATATATATTTAAAAAAAATTGATTTGACCCCTCATAATTTGCTTAAGTCCTGATATTTTTAAAAAAATAAATTTTTCGACAATCATTTATCGGTACCCTAACTTGAGCAGGTTTTTTCAGGGTTTCCCACAGGAGTTGAACAATAACATTTTAAAACATGTCATAACACACCTTTACAAACATATTGGTGAAGAAACTGTTTGGTAAGGATTTAGTTGGCAGATTTGTGAAACATCTCATAAAATGTCCTTACCACTGGCATCGATTGGTTACTTTTTTAAGATGACTATTGTTCATGTCGTCATGTGCTCCTCACCCACTACCTATGAATTCCTCCTTGTTTATTTTGAAAATGTACTTTTTAAAAATTAAAGGGATTGTTACGCAGAATATGAAACATAATACCTTTTATTCTTATTATACATTTTCTTTCTTTAATCTAAGAGACAATCACCACTTATCACTTCGGGGCTTTGTACATATATAAACAGCAGCCAGACTGATAATATTATTTGTGGCTGTGCTGTTCACACACTCCAACTGCGACGACTTTGAAATGTCCTCTTTTAAACCAAGCTCTTTTGGTTCTTTATGTATGTCTAGCATAACCTTGTCAAGAGAAACTGTTCAACTAATGTGTACATATTTTATCTTTAATGTGTGTTTCACATCAAATGATAAAATCTGAGTCTTGTAGATTTCTTCATATATTTCCAGTTGTGATAATACATAATTAAGAATTTGAGTAAAAAATGGCAGTCATTTGGTTGGTTTATTGTCTGATAGGGTGCAGGTGAAGACAGCCCAGGGCAATGTGGAGTCAGTGGAAGGTGTTTGGTCTGAGTCTGAGCCAAGGGAAAGTCTAAGCCTACATCCTGGAGGGCTGAGTGTTCTTGACTGAGCCCATTCATGCTGGCAACACATTCACATACTAACATGAACAACCATGAACACATGCACATCAATGTTCTTTCTGTTTTACTGCTACACATTTGACACAGTTCTGCATCTTAACCCTCACTGTTCTCCTGTATGAATCCAAATGGTCTTTGTCCTTTGGACAAACTTGTGGTGCCTGCAGCACTAAAAGTCAGCAGTAGCGTGACATGATGTTATCCTCTAATAGTTGTCACTTTTCAACACCAATTCACAAACTAAAAATGTCAAGTTTGCATTTCTTTTGCTGTGGATTTAGGAGTCCAAAAGTGCTGGCGCTTCCCTCCTGCCTGGATGCATTAGAAGATCAGTTCTTCTTGCCCCCCCCCCCACATTCCACTTTGTTTGTCATCGAGTTTCTGACTTCACCCGGTGTTTTGCCATCCAGACGGTAATCCTGCTTCTGTGAGCCTGAGGCTTCTCCTCAGAGCTCCTGTCACTCTCTGCGTGACTGTACTCCATTTCATTAATTCCTCGCGTGTCACTTTGCAGTATCGTTTTTGAACATGGAGTGATAATCAAGTCTATCCCCCAGCCCTTGAGGTTATGCACAAACAGGGCGTTTGTGTTGTTTTTGTTGTTGTTGGCAACTGAGAGTTGGGAGATGGATGAGAGAGACAGAGACAGATAGCCCAGGGCTATTTATCGGTTGGAGTCCAATAATGCGTGCCTGGGTGTTACATGTTGAACTTTTGACAGCTTTAAATGGCTCTCCAGTTCATTTTGCACCAGGAGATTTCAGTCTGGAAAACATCCACTGAGAACTGAGAATTCCCAACAAATAAATAGCAAATCAGCACACTCTGGAATATTTACATGATGAACCTTCTACAAATTCACAGATTTTATTAACAGCTATGAGAACTTGAGACAGTCGGTAGTTAAATAGTCAAAAGTATATGGACATCCAAACAACGTAGAGGACAACCACATACTAAAGCTATATGTGACAATGTAACATGGATTCCAACTTCACTGGCATTGTTGTGCTGCTATAACAGCCTCCACTGTTCTGGGTTCAGGTTTTCGCCAGATGCTGAAACTTGGCTGAAGGAATTTGCTCTTGTTCAACCATACCAGCATTAGTTAGGTGTAGGACTGATGTTAGCAGATAAGACCTGACTGTATGGGAGGATAAACAACAATAAAGCATGATTGTAACATTTCATGGGCTATTTCTGGGCACACAATTATTCTGGTTTTAGATTTTGGTTGATAATGTAAAATTAAGTAATCTTGGAGTCCAAAAAGCTGCTCTTGTAGTACAGCTATAGTACGTTTGAAAAAGTCAGGCCAACTCCCAGCCAGAGAATGATACAATTATCCTGTTCACAGGTTCATGAATTGAACACGTGATTGAATGACATTGAACTGTCATTCTTTCCATCTTTTATTTGAAATGATATCCTCGCAGTACCTTCTGATCTCAGCTAAGGAATTATTTAACAATTTGTGAACAATCGGTAGCTCTCAAAATAAAGTGAATATCCATCCATCCATTATCTATACACCGCTTAATCCTCTCTAGGGTCGCAGGGGAGGCTGGAGTCTATCCCAGCCGACTTAGGGTGAAGGCAGGGGACACCCTGGACAGGTCGCCAGTCTATCACAGGGCTACACTTAGAGACAGACAACCAAGCACACTCACATTCACACCTACGGACAATTTAGAATCACCAATTACAGTGGGAGGAAGAACCCAGAGAGAACCCACACTGCATGGGGAGAACATGCAAACACAGAAAGATCCCAGGTGTCTTCACTGTGACGCGAACTGGTGACCTTCTTGCTGCGAGGCAACAGTGCTAACCACCGCTCCACCTTGCAGCTCTAAAGTGAATATATAATTTAAAAAAATAAAAAAAACAAGTCCAGTTATTCCCTCCAAGAAGAGAACATGTGATAGACTCACAGTAGGCTCTGTGGTAAAGTGGGATCTAAAAATGTCTTTTAAGGCATTGGCTGTTGGTGTTTTAAAGACAGTGTACTTTTTGAGTTCTGTGCTGGTGGAGGCAGTAGGAGGAGAAAAGACATTAAGTGTGTGGGTATGTGATCTTTATCTCAGATTTCACACTTTCTTTGATGTTATTTTTTGGCATCACTGTGTTTTTCATACTCAGCACATTTGTGCTGTGTGAGTGTGGAGGAGTGTAGGATGTGTGCAACAGTTTCATTTTGCTGTTCTTTCTTCTTATCTCAGCTTTACATAGGATCGTCTTTGTTCTCTTCATCCTCACTGCCATTGGATTAGGGGTTAATTGTCCTTCTAATGAGCTACATTATGTAAAATGCCTACTACTGTAGCTTGCAAACTTGCCAACACTGTGGATGAGATTAGTCTTGTTTGACCAGACCATCCATCCATCCATCCATCCATCCATCCATCCATCCATCCATCCATCCATCCATCCATCCATCCATCCATCCATCATTTCCTTACACTGCATAATCCTCTGTGGGGTTGTGGGGGGCTGGAGTCCATCCCAAATCTTAATAACAAAACAAACAAACTGTTATTGACATGGAAATAAGAGAATAACTCTGCCATGTTAATTCTAAATAGCATTGTCTCTGTACCTAAACAGCAAGCTCCCACCATGGCAGCCCCTTGCATTTTTTAAAAACACATTGCTGGTATTGGTTTGAACAACAGATTAGTGTGATTGTACTGCAAGCTTGAATGTGGGCAGGTTGGGGGGTGGAAAAGGGGTTGGCTTTCTAACTTTGTCACAATGATGAACTCAACCCAGGGTCAGCTTTTCTCTCTGTCTCGCATATATGTTTGCATTAGTATGTTTGCCAGTGCCTCTGCTTTTACACTCTAATTATAAGTTGTGCTTGCTCATTCTCCTTGAAATAGAAACAAGTCTGCTACTGACTGTGACTCAGCCTCACCACCATGTCCTCCATCACAATTATCTAAAACATCTGCACAACCGCAAACAAAGACGTGCATACACACGCGCGGCCACACACACACACACACACACACACAAAACTGTTCTTTTCAAAGTTTCTAGTCAGAATGGGCATCTGTTTAAATTGCACTTAGCATTGAATGGACTGTTAAGTAGAAAAGTAGTGACGCTTCAGACAGCACTGTCAGGAGATAAGTGTTGAGACATCAACAGATGTCTCCATATTGTGTTTTTGTTCATTTGAAAATTTGAGCCTTCCAGCTGAGACATAATGTGCGTTTGTGTGTGTACTTTTATTTCTCATGGATTGATCTGACACCGCCACATTTTTACTCACTCTGAGTTTATTTTTCACTGCACTTCAATTAGAAACACAACCATGGCTAGAAGTAAAGAACTCCAAAATATATTTTGTGCAGTGTAGCAAAGTTATAAAATGGTAGAAATAATTTATTGTTATTATTTATTTATTAGTTCAATTTCTTTTATTCATTATTTTACCATAATGGAAGCACCTGGAATCAGTTCTGTTCAACATTTTTCTGAGTGTCATTCACTGATATTGGAAAACAGTTGGTGCTCTACATCCGTCCATCCATCCATTTTCTATACACCGCTTAATCCTCACTAGGGTCAGGGGGGGCTGGAGCCTATCCCAGCTGACTTGCGGCGACACCCTGGACAAGTCGCCAGTCTATCACAGGGCTACACTTAGAGACAGACAACCAAGCACATTCACATTCACACAATTTAGAATCACCAGTTAACTTCAACATGTTTTTGGACTGTGTGGGAGGAAGCCGGAGAACCCAGAGAGAACCCACGCTGCACAGGAGAACATGCAAACTCCATGCAGAAAGATCCCGGGTGTCCTCACCGGGACACGAACCGGTGACCTTTTTGCTGCTAGGCAGTGGTGCTAACCACCACGTCACCTTGCAGCCCCCGGTGCTCTACATGCCATAGATATTTTACTACTTAGATTTTTATCATTACTACAAACTAAGTGTTTTCCACACTACTCTGGGCATTTAGTTCTGGAAAAAAACTACACCTCACTGAATGCATTTCTTAACAACTGGGTAACAACTTGCCCCCACTGGATCCTATTTTTGAGCCACTCTGCATTTAATTTATAGCTAGCATGCCTTTAAACCTGACAGTGCGTTTTGGGTTTCAGGTTAGGTTCATCTTAGGATTAAATTTTGAGTAAGGGTTAGGGAAGTAATCAGTAGGTTTAGGTTTAGGATAAGGCTGCAGGAAAGAATAGAAGTCAGGGTAATGTCTTTGATGAAATTGTGACTTTGTGTGTTTGTATGTGCAGGTAAGGCCCAGTTCATCCACGTCGGTGAGGAGGTGGACGGGGTGGATATGAGGGCAGAGGTGGGCCTGCTGAGTCGCAACATCCTTCTTCGTGGTGAGATGGAGCCTGGCTGCTATGGCAATGAAGCCTGCAAATTCTTCAGCTTTGACACTTTCGGTGGACATTTGAAGGTACGCTGTTGTCTTCACCATATCATTTATAGTAGGCAATGAAGCCATTCACAACCAGTTATCAGTATGCAGTGACTTGTTACAGAAGAAGAGGAGATGCGAATGTAGGACGAAGGGAGGCAGCTAACAGTTCAAAATCCAAAATTCCAGCAAAAACAGCAAAAGCAAAAAACTGGCAAAATTTCAAAAACACATACAAGGATAACAATCAGTGGGGCAAATCATGCCGACAAGGAGCAGGGAACAGACAAAAAGCAGTGACAGACAAATACAACAACAACACAAGCAGGACTCAGGGAGCAGTCCTAAGTGACTGGAGAACAGATACGCTGGAGAGCTCAAAATGTGTGTCAGAATTTGAAGCAGACAGGCTGGGCCACTGAGGAGGATGGCCATAGGGTGGAGCCATCATGGTCTATGGTGGATTCAAGGAATTGCACAAGATTCTGTTGAAATCCAAAGAGGCAATGGTTAAGTTAAAAAAAAAAATGTAATTAAGGCGTTTTCATTTAAGTATTTACTGTATTTTTATTTGTTCAAAGATGGAATCAAAGACAAGCGTGTGACAAAACAGTTCAGACTGGTTAAGAATGATTTTTTTTTTTGCGTTAGATGATTTGATTCAGCAAAACTTCAAAAACAAAGAGATTATGGTCCGATAGCCAACATTATAATGAGCATTAACACAATAGCTCAGAATTTTTGTGAACACTCTGCACAACCTTTCAGGAATCAGAGTGGAGAATCATTATCATGTGATTTTATTTGGGCGGGTACTTACAATATTATTACGTATGTTCTATTTTACTATCATTAGAACATGCTTAAAATGACGACAACAAGGTGTTCTTGTTTCATAGATATAATGTTTATGACACTGACCATGTTACTCTAGCATGTTAATATGGAATACCAAGTAAGGCTGATGACAATATCTACAAAATAAACAAGAGCATTAGACAAATTGGAATCTTGATATGATGATTGTGCTTTCTCAAAGCAATACTAGTTTGAAAAACAGTTAAAGCTCATACTGGTTTCTGCATCTGAGGAATGGATGAACAGATTTAGCTCCTTGACAATTGGGCAAACTCCATCCACTAATGGTTGTGAGATGCTGCTGAGAGTTTGGGAAAACCGCTAACTGTAAACCAAGGTGGAATGTTCCAGTTTCTTTATGTGATGGATTGACCATCCAATCCATGTTGCCATCCTTAGACTGACTGTAGGAAAATGTTTGCAAGGCTTCTGGATTGAAAAACTCTCATGTTGCCATTTGCACACACAGAACCTTCCACCAGTTAGGATTCAGTGCGCTGATGTATGATTGTGCATAAAATTAGAGAAGATTAAAATGGTCTACAAAACCAAGGCTGCATGTATCATCCTGTCAGCCTGTCAACAGGAGGAAAACAGGCAGCGGTGAGAGACACTGAGAGGTAGAAAACAACAGGATAACATAGAAGGGTAGAGAGAGAGAGAGAGTGAGAGGCTGTGGTTGTATTTCAGCTGTCTTCGTGCCTCCCTCTCCCCAGGGCAAGCCGTCATATTATATTATAAATTTCGATCATAGCTTAATGTCACATATTTCTCACAAATGGGTGTATGTACCGCACGTACTTCCAATTCACACAGACACAGAGAGGAAAGTCCCATTGATTCTTCAGTGAAGCCATTCTAAATGAATGCCTCAGAGCATACTGCCCCCATTGACAGCTGAGCCATTACTGCTGAGTTAAAACCTTGTATTGTATCCACTATTAGTAGCAAGTCACGAGCTGAGTAGAGTTTAGGTTTTTTTTTGTTTTTTTTCCTTTTGACAGCAGGAGGTTTGAGAATTTTCTGAAATGTTGTTGAAAATACTGCATTCTTTTATGATTTGGTGCAACAATGGCTCTGGTTTTTGGAACAAAGCTGTTTTTAATTTACTGAGTCGATATGCTCTCTAATGTCTTTTATTCACTGATGAAGTCCTTCTTTATTCGCCACATCAACTCTTAACTGTCTTTACCAGCGTGTTTAATTCTTTTTTCATAGTCTCTCTTCTTTTTTTCGTTCTTTTCTTAATCTCTTTGTCATTGTTGCATTAACTGTCTAGCTTATTACCTCTCTCCTACTCATTCAGTTCCACCTTTTTGGGATTTTTTTTCCCTTATCTCTCTTTCTGCCTCCATCACTTCTTTCCTCTGCTCCTTACATCTGTCATTTCCCCTCCCCCCCACACTCTACCTTCCTTTCTCTCCTTTGAACCTTGCTCTTTTGTTTCCTTCCCCCTGTTTTTGAAGTATCCCTTCATTCCCTCTTCGCTGCTATTTTACTAACACCTTTTGCTGAAATTGTTTATATATTATGCATTCCCCTATTTTCAGTTCCTCTTTTTGTTCAGTGTGATTACAGTTGAAGCTGTCATTCAAGTGATGCAGCAACCCACAGGAATGATGTCATGTCTCTGCTGTCACTGTCAGGTGGAGCGAGGTTTCAGGGCAGTTCATATATCAGGGGTGGAGCTCCAGCACATGGGCCAGCAGACGATGGGACACTATCCAGTCCATTTTCACATGAATGGAGATGTGGATGAGAAGGGAGGCTACGATCCCCCAACATACGTCGGCAATCTATCCATTCATCACTCTTTTTCCCGCTGTGTAACCATACATGCCTCCAATGGACTACTGGTCAGTAAAGATTTTATTGAACTGTGGCTTGTAAATCTGTTTTTACTCACATGCATTTGGGACAACATTAAAGAACTAGGTGTTGTCAGTGGTAAAGTCATAGATGCAGACTGGGTAGTAGTATTGATCTTCTCATGTAATTTAAAGAACTGAAGCAAATAAGCGTATTTCCAAATATATGAAACTATTCTTTTAAAGGTCATTTTATACCATATTGTTTCAAGTAGCTCAGAGCTTTGCACATTTTTATCTGACGTCCCTCGACAGGCCGTAGTCACACATCTAGTGACAATATTAGACAAAATGTAGGGTACATAACACACACACACAACATAACTTGGTGTAACACAAACCAAACACACATGGAATGTTTGTACAGTGAATTTTAGAAACAAAAGTATGTACGCTGCAAAAATACAGCATATTCACATTCAGTGATTATAGTTGAGGAGCTTTTAACCAAATAAATCAGCGTCATGGGCAGTTAATGGATTGCAGGAAATTCTAGTTACAAAGCACTACTCAGGTACACATCAAGCAGGTTGGTCCCTCACTTATTCTCCTCTAGGTATCCTGGATCCACGTCAGCATTAAATCCCCTGAACACCGTAGTCCCAAAGGTTTCTCAGTTCATGTGATGCACACAGGCCCAGAAAGGCTTTCTCCAGACCAATCATTACAAAAGATACCACTAGACACAATGAAAACATTTTCTGACTGTGAGAAACTTTGTATTTGTTCCACTCTCTGTGTGTTACCATTTTCTTCACTTGGGAAACAACAACAGCAACCTCCAGGCAGTAACCTGCCACACTAAAAATGAAACTGAAACTGAAAGTTTTGTTGAGGATTTGGATCATGCAGTATGGCAGCACAGCTCGTTTTTGGGGTTTTTTTTTGGTTTTTGTTGGTGATGCATGCAAATGTTCGTCCAAAGAATTCCACTGGTCACTATTTTGGATGATCAAAACTGCCTACTTTGCTGATGACTTTGATAAGCTTAAAGAAACACAAACAAGCCAGAGTGTTATTTATTTTTTATTATTTTGAAAAGCAGAAGGATGGTGCAGCCAGACAGTTCTACAGAAAACCTCATGACATTTCTATCAAGGTCAAAATAAAGTCTTTCGAAAAAGACATAAAACACAATTTTTTTGGATTATTCGACCACAGCCTTGGTGAGAAACCTTGATTACAATAATTGTCTTAGAACACAGTTCTCTCAATACACCATGAAGGAGTTTTTACTCAGAGACCCAGAGGACAGATACTCTGAGCTAATGTGTGACAGTAACAGAGGAAATTCATGTGTTAAATAGTGGTGCATTAACAGAAAGTGATGCAAAGATGAGGAATTAGGTTGTGTTAAGTTGAGTTGCTTGAGCTCTTTGCTGGCAATTATTTATCCTGTTACATTTGTAGTGAAAGATATATGCTGGTGTGACAACATGTTTGTTTCCTTCCAGGTAAAGGATGTGGTGGGCTATGACACACTAGGCCACTGTTTCTTCACGGAGGATGGTCCAGAAGAGAGGAACACGTTTGACCACTGTTTGGGTCTGATGGTGAGAGCAGGGACCTTGCTGCCTTCAGACAGAGACAGCAAAATGTGCCGTGACATCACTGATGGAGCGTACCCAGGATATGTGGCCAACCCACGGCAAGACTGCAGGTAAGGCACATACGGAAACTAATGCACGTTTTAGCCTTATCGAGATCTCCAGTGGATCTGCCTGGCTGGTATCCATAAATTTCCGAAGATTTTAAATATGCCAGGCTTAACTTTGCACTTTTTTTTCCCTGTATAGTGGAAGTACAGAGTGAAAGAAAATCAGTGATGTTCAAGCTAAAACAAATGGTTTTTATATCTGCACATCATTTTTTATTTTTTATTTTTTTTGCCATAAACTTAAGCATGTAAGTATTTGGACAGTTGCACTTTTTTTTTTTCCTTTTCAACTTGTGTGTTTCAGCACAATCATATTAAAATAAAATAATGGGTATTACATCAGTGTACCAGCTTTAATTTGCATGGGTTTACATCAGTAGGAATGCTGCGGGGGTCATTTCAATGTTTTGTTCCCAGATTGCAGAGGTTCAGAAGTACTTTGAAATTTGTCTATTGCATCGTTTTTAGTTGTTGTTGAATATTAAATTCCCCCTATATGAATGTTATCATTACATGTTATGCTTTACAGACAACCAAAGCACCAGGATTCCAATAATAGTTTCTGTTTTAGAAAACTGATCATTTTTTCACAGAGAATTAATTACATTGCTCTGCATTGCCTTCTGTAAAATTCTCTAAAAGCCACACCAGTTCATCATTCACTTCACCTGTCAATGGTGTTAATGTTGTGGCTGAATCATGTAATTACCTTAACTTTAACCCTATCGATAATTACTACTTGCCTAATCCTAACTCTCGCCCTAATCTTAACTTTTAATCTAAACCTGAGCTCAAACCAGGTCTTCAAACTACATTTATTGATTTACACTATGGGGCCTAGTTTCTTGTTCCCAAACGGAACTCAAGTTTCCTAAATGTGACTGTGTTTGATTTATCATCACAATTACGCCGTTTAATATAAATTAAATCCACAAACCGTGTATACTTTGTTCACCATTTTTCTGCTTTTCTAAACTTTCTATTCAGTTCAATCCCAGTGTTTTGAATGCAGTTGAATAGAAATCCGCTATAAGGATATGAGCAGATAATGTGAAACACATACGGATGTCTAAAGGCACAGCATATTAGTTTTTTTTTCCCCTCTAAGATAACCTACCCTCAGGTTGCACACATTACAATCACTCATGGAATCAGCATAACTCTTTCTACTGATAACCGTATCTCTTATCCATCCTGGCTGATCAAGAGACCGGCATGAATTAGTCTTGTCAGACTGCTTCATATGAGCCTAAGCCAAGCAAAGCTGGAATAGTTACAGAGAACAAGGCCTGTTTTCACGTTCAGTAACAACAGAAGTGAGTACGCACCGGTGCAATGATATTTAAATGTCAAATTAATTGAAATTGAATCACCTCTTAATAATTGCATTATTTCTAAGTTGCACTGTAGAGTTTTTCCTCTTGTGTAAAATTAAAAATCTAAAGTTCTGATGCATTTTTACAAATACAGGCACCATGGAAAGAACACAATGTAACAAGTCAGTCCACCGTTCATTACTGAGATTCTAATCTTTTATTTTTGTCATTACTTTATACAGCCACCTTAATTTTGATGACAGAATAGTCGTCCTCAGGCAGGAAGGATACCAGTGTTATACACATTTTTGGAGAGACCATTCTTCATCTTGTTTTTTTCAGCTGTTCTTTGCTGGAGGGGTGGCGTTGCCCTACTTTTCTCTTTAAAATATCCCAAAGTTGTTCTGTGGGATTGAAGTCAGAAGATATACTGGTCATGGTCATAGTTTTCACTTTTTCATTCTTTAGTAGCTGTGCTTTGGATCATTATCATGCTGGAGTGTTTCTCTTCTGCCAAGCTTCCGCAGACTGGAGGCTCATCTCATTTCACTAATTTCCGCCTCCTCGTCTCCTCTGTCCTCTTGCCCGTGACCCAGAAATCAATCTTGGTGCGCCATCACGAAGGACATCTCAGTTCCTAAAATGCACCTTGAGAGAGAGAACGGAGAAGGCTGCTGGAGGAGCTATGAAAGAGGATGCCCGAGTGTATTCTTGCAATATTCTCCATCAAGTCTGTTCTGCACCCATAATAAAAGAGGTGTGACACACAGCTGGAATATACATTCAATCATCAGTTGTGTGTGTTTTATTTAGTTTTACGTCCACCTTTATTTTCTGACATGGTGAATGGGCTGCCCTTACATAACGCTTTTCTACCTTAGTGCTACTTAAAGCACTTTACAATGTTTTCTCATTCACACACATTCATACATCAATGGCAACAGAGCTTTAATGCAAGGTGCTGCCTGCCAGTGGGAGCGTCTTGCCCAAGGACATTTCAACCTGTGGAGGAGCGACCCACTGTAGCACCTGAGCCACAGTCGCCCTCAATGACAGATTCAATTTATCTTTGCACTGAGGATTCTAGTGTTGGACAAATTTCAAGAGAGATGTTCTGCCATTCCTCAGAGACTGTTTGTTTTTTTTAGCTACTATTTGTTTGATAGGTTGTGTTGCACTACCTTTGTCTTTAAATATCCCAAAAGTGTTTTATGAGATTCAAGTCAGGCAACTTGACCAGGTCATAGTTTTTACTTTTTTTTTTTTTTTTTAGAATATCTTGCTTGGATTTTACTCTTCTGCCAAGTTTCGGCAGCCTGTGAGTCACCTTGTCAGCAAGTGTTTTGATGTATCCACAGGCATTCATGATGTCATCTTCTTAAAACCTCTGTGCTTGACTGTCAGGACTATACATTTACTGTGGTGGTCCTGGTCAGGTTCATTCCAGACATGTTGGTCCTCATCTGAGCCTCACAAATGCGTCTTTGTTTCATCTGACCAAAGACTGAGCTCCCAATATTAAGGCTTCTTTTTATGTTCTTTAGGAATGTTTGATCCGTCACACTGTCTGAACTGTCATAGCCCTGTGCCAAGTCTGAAACCTCTGCCCATCTGTTTTTCAGAGCTACATTGTGCAAGTTGTGCACTGGCCATGGCGTCATTTTTGGCAGGTTTCCACTGTAGTTACTGGTACTATGACTCATTCTTCACCTCATGGTTACTGCTTCAACTGGGTTTTAGCAGGTTTTTTTTTTTCTTTAGGCTAATAGAAAATCACATGTGCACTTGATCTGGTTTTGGTGATCACAGGTCTTGTTTTCTTGGGTTTCTTTTTGGATTTCCTTTTTCTTTTTTTTAACTGTGTTTTTTTATTGTTTATTGAGAAATGCTTTTCAGCTTAGCAAAATTGCAGTTATTGACAAGTGATACAAATGCACAGGGGTGCACTCATTTTTGTGCACTCACACTGTTGTATACTGTGTCAGTTATTCTTCCTGTATTAAGGACTAACTGCAGGGCAAAATCACAGGCACCAACAGATATAATATAGAAAATGATTCATAATATTTCAGACTGAATATTATTAAATTATCAAAGGCACTTGTATTGGCTACTATTATAATCAGATGTTGTGAACTCTGATTTCATTGACCTCTAGTTCCCAAACAAAGAAATACAGATAGATTTGATGATAATTATACACTGAACATTTATTAACTACTGCTACAAACAAGCAACAAGACAACAATGAGGTAATAAGCAACTAACTGTGAATGAATAAATACAGATAAACTGAATAATTAGCAGTGATAGTCACTGGAAGTACTTGGCAGAGCTGTGATACATTTTGAGTTACACTGGAATTGAGAAGACAGCTATAGTTACTAAACTCAAAAACCCGTTTAGCAGAGAGAAAATGATACTTGTGTAGCCTTTAAATTACTTGCAGGGTCATCGTGTGACGTCAGAAGAAAGAAGCAGAGAGACAGGGCGGCATCAGGGTGTGTCGTGGTCCGGATCTGCTGCCTTAGTCGGTTCTGGAACACAGAGACAGGACGACACCTTTGCATAGTTGCCCTGAAAAAATGTGCCAAAGTAAAAATACTAAGAATCAAAGCTCATAGTTAGGAAGAAAACGTTTACACTGTTTCCGCTGTGCCCTGGTTTTCAGGATCTTTTTTATGGTAATTGTGGAATTTCAGTACACATAAGGGGAAGCTTCTAATAAAAGTGAGAATACAACTACTGCTTTAGGACCAATAATTTTAATTTTTTATTTTCTTTTAAGACAAAACACTATGCTTGTCAACTTAAAAATAATTAAAAAATACTGTACAGTGATACAATCTTGAATCATTTAACATTTAGTGATACTGCACAAGGATGTACTCACTTCAGTTGTATACTCCACAAGGGGAACATTAGTATTGTTTTCAGGCAAATCCGAATCATATCCTTAAAATGGCACATTTAAAAGCAAGGATGCATTTCTGCAACCCATCATTCAGTAAAGATGATGGGTGAACCAACAGACTGATGAATGGATGAACACTAGACTGTTTTTGGAATGCTACATTTCAGACAATACAGTCTACTGTGGTTCATAAAAAACAGATGAGTGTCATCCAAATATTGTGTAAAGATGGAATTTTCTGCTAAAAGGTTTCCGAATACCGATCCCTTCTTTTTTTTTTCTTTTTTTTTTTAGTATTCAACATGGAACATTTTACACAAGATGAACATTGTGGATTTTGTCCTCAATCACTTGTGTTAGAAGTGCATTACGAATTTAAATCCTGTTAAAAAGTTACAAGCTACAACCAACAGGCGGTGATGGTTGCTCTTTCTACCATGTACATACACAGATTAGAAGGTGGCCTGTTTTTGCCTGTGAACTATCACTTGGTTAGCGAGGAATTATATTTAAAGCATAAAGATGCGGCTTTGAATATAAAGCAGTTTAATCCAGGTCACATGACATTTTATCTCACCACACTGCCTCTGCCTTTAGCAGCAGAGCATAAAGGCTAAGGTTGTGCATAATGGCAGTGGTGTTCACTGATATGGAGTCATCCACCTGCTCTCTGTCATGGAGGTACTGGAGGGATTTGCTGTTTCTAACATTATCTCAGCCTCTACTTTCTGCTCCTTTCCTTTCATGTTTTTCTTCTTTCCTCTCTCCTCTCCTAATTTAATAATTTTCAATTATAACAGGCTGGTTATACACAATGCATTGTATTTCTGGGCATATTGAGGCATATTGCCCAATTTGTCTGTATCATTGTATTCTGTAATGATTTCGAAAACACAGTGTATTATTAGTGGTTAAAAAATTCCAATTTAATCAAACATGATTGCACTAACAACGTTCCCCACTGTAAGATTTATGATGATTAATTTCCAGTCAGCTTTTCACACTCCCTCGTGGCTTCTTCTGTCTCTCCTTCCATTATTGGTGCGTATGTGTTGAATTTTAATGCTCAGATGAAAACAATAAATTGCAGTCAGATTTGCCAGGAACAGGAGACATCTGGGCTACACGAAGAGGAAGAACTGTCATATAAACTGAGCCAGATGAATGTGCTGGGAGTGTGTGTGTGTGTGTGTGTGTGTGTGTGTGTGTGTATAAATTATCCATCCAAGCCATCTCCTTCAGAGCAAACAGCAAGACATGGCAGCTAGTTGGGTTTTCAACTTTTTTGCCCTCAGAGCTTTACAGCCTTCCTCTGGATCTTCTTTATTTGACAGAACACCCTATGTTCTTCCTCTCAATAAACGTGGTCGGAAATTTGAATTAAATGCAGATCATCAAGTATCGAAACAAGTTTGTCTTGCAAAGAACACTTGAGTTACTTGTTAATGAACAGCTGAAATGACTTTGTACTAATTCCATTTTAGTCTGGCTTTAGGGATAACCTCAGCACCACTGTCTTTAGTTATTAATAATAGCAACAACAAAAAGGGAAGCAAAAAAACACTGTGCTGCACCTTTTTATTGATTTAACAAAAGCTTTTGATACAGTTGGTACAATTTGATGCAGACTTTCTTCTCTGCTTTTTGACAATGGTGGCCACTGATGATTTCACAATTATCTCTCTGATAGGCTGCAGTGGCAGGGTAGGTTATATTCTGTCCTTTTTCCTCACCTTGACAAAGGGAGTTTTCCAAAGTTATTGTGTTTGTATGTCCTTGGAGCGGCTTTAGTCTCTATGTATTGAAAAACATATGACCTGCTTTGTGCTGTTTTAACTTTCATCATGACATGGTCCTATATTTCTAACTTTAGGGAATCTACTTCTAAACTCCACATAAACATCATCTTTACTTTCTTTATAGAAACACATTTCCCCCCCCTTTATTTAGAAGTAAAGGGATTGTTGAAGCAGATTGTTGGATGCTATTTATGGAGACTATGTATCAGGAACTGGCACAAAGGTAGTAATAAGTTCTCCTTCGGACGGGATGTAATTGTAAAAGCAATTTCTCTGTAAAGGGACCAATAAAGTATTATCTTATCTTATCTTACAACATGTTGCGTCTTCCAGATGTCTTTGGATTAATTTTGTCAACGCGGTAGCATCTGTACAAGATACAGTAATTAGACTTTTTAGGTACCTAGTTGAGAACTAAATTAAGACTGAGTCAAAGGTGGGTGTGTCTTGTGGATGTTTGCATCTTTTTCAACATGTTTTATGTTTCTAACTACCAAATACCCAGAAAGTGCCCCACTTATGGGCTTTGTAAGGCATTGGCGGTGCACTGTATAATGCCTTTATGGGAGGTTTGAGGAGGTTTGTGGTCTTCATTGTAAAATGTGAATAGCCATTGAGGGACGCCTAAAGAATTTTTTAAACAGTCACCAAAATAGATTCTGTTTCCCTCGTCCTTCTAACAGTATCCGTCCATGCAGGTCATTTTTGCTTTAGTTTAGGTGAAAAGGTCATAATCCATTGTGATTATTGATATACAAAAGGAATTCTAGTGTTTCCGCTGTCATCTCAGGGAGATCTGAGAATAGAGTTGCAGAACTACAGATAGAGACACAAGGTGAATTTCTTCTCTTTTCCTGTTTACGGTGAAATGTGCACCATTACAACCCTGTTACTGCCAGAGCACTCTTGGACTTGTCGGTATATTTGGTGTCAAACTTCAAATTCACTTTGGTTTAGCTTTGTAGCTTTGGCAGAAAACCAGACAGAAATTCAAGGCAACTACCTTGGCTGTGGACAGCTGGCCAGGACAGCACAGCCACACCCTCCACTGGAAACACTTACCTGAAGGTTCCAGTATGCTTCTTCCGAGCAGCTTGTTGGATTGCTGAAAAGCTTCACAACAGCCCTACGCAATAGTTTGCTCAGTGTCATATGGAATTATTATGATTATTATTTTTTTAAACTTTGATTTCCAGAATGTAATTATATCCTTCTCCATGGAATCTGAATGGAGGAAAAAGTCTCAGAGACAGATATTTAACAACACTAGTAAATAGGACCAAAACTATGTAAGTATGTGTACAGAGAGTTGCCACCAAGGGAGGAAATGGTGTTCCATAATTTGGGTGAAGTAATATTTTAAATGTGTGTTAGTCAGCACCTTTACGTTGGTTTGGTGAGGTACAAGTAAAAATAATTAATCCAATTAGCTGCTGTAAAGCAAGACCACAAATATATTTTGTCAGCATTTTTCCTCCGTGGCTTTGTCATTGTAACGGGAAATGTTTCTCCTTGTTGAAAACTAAATTAGTTCAAGAAAAGTAGTTTCCCCTCCTTCAAGCCAAGTCCATGTTTCAGTGTCTGCAGTGAGAGCAGCTGCTTTACACAGATTTCCATGTAAATGATTCAGTGGTGCCTGGAAATGTATCAGCATGTTTGAATGACTCCAGCTTATGTGACCTTAACTCTTTGTCACTCTGCTAAATAAAATGTCCCTGTTGCATGATATTCCTGTATAAATTATTTTCAGTCCCAATACATGGGTTCTTAATGTAGCTAACTAATTCATGTCACAAACATGGCGAATCTTGTCTCTCCCTGTCATCCCCTCAAACACAAGAAGTAGCCTGC